GTATCTCCATCAGGGCAAGCCGCCGGGCCCCCTCCTGTGTCGGGCATGTTAGTCTGCCCTAAGGCAGTGCAGCATGGAGGTGTGATTAGAGTGTGCCCAGGCACACCCGGCACACCCCGTGCGCACGCCTTGGTATACAGACAGTGTCTATTTTCTTGGATCAAGAAACTATTACCCCATAAATTGAAAATGTATCCCAATCCAGTGGCGTACACGACCCATGGGGCCCCGGTGCGAAAATTGATCCGTGGGCCCCCCCGCGCTTACTCTGCGCGGGCCGGGGCAGCAACACATGGCGGCAGGCACCTGGTCGCAGGGGTTGCAGGGCTGCGACCCCTGCGACCACGGTATGTACGCCAGTGCATGCAGATGCACACACACTTAAAGGACCACAACAGACACCCAGATCACATCAACTGAATGAAGTGGTCTGGGTGCCAGGTCCCTCTAGTTTTTACCCTGCAGCTGAAAACATAGCAGTTTCAGAGAAACTGCTATGTTTCACAGAGGTATAATCCAGCCTCTAGTGGCTGTCTCATTGACAGCCGCTAGAGGAGCTTCCGCGATTCTAAGACACTGAACGTCCATAGGAAAGCATTGAGTAATGCTTTCCTATGGGCGGATTGAATGCGCGCGCGGCTCTTGCGGCTCGGAGCTGAGAGGCGGAGGGATCCCCAGCGCCAGGGGAGTCCGGCGCTGGAGAAAGGTAAGTGCTGAAGATACACACACACACACACACAGACACTCTCATGAACGGACGCATACACACTAGCTAACAGACACATACATTTACTGACAGAGACACACTCAGCGACAGACATACATACACACTTACTTACAAAACATACACTCTCACTGACAAACACACACTCACTAACAGACATCAAACAGACACACAAACACACTCAGTAACACACTCACTGACACACTCAGTAACACACTCAATAACAGACACACTCACTGACACACACACAAACACTAACACACACACACACACACTTTTTTTTTTTAAATTTAGTCCCCCCAGCCTCCTTACCTGTGGGAGTGCTGAGGGGATTCCCTGGGGTCCAGTGGTATCACTGGGCAGGCGGGCGGTCAGGCTGTCTGGGTTGCTGGCACGAGAGGGAGCACTTTCCCTGGCTTAGTGCTTCCTCTTCAGCTCCCTTGCGCGCTGGCCACCCAGACAGCCCGCCAGCCCGCCCACCTGGTGATACCACGGCCAGCCTCATGGGGGGGGGGCCCTTAGGTGGCCAGCTCCTGGCCCCCCATGGAGAAGAGCTGGCCACAGTGGGTGCATACCGTGTCGCAGGGCGGCCGGGCCCCCTGGTGGGCCGGGCCCGGTCGCAGCCGCAACCCCTGCGACCCCGGTATGTACGCCACTGTCCCAATCTCTGAATTATGCTTTAAACGCTTTGATAAAACCACTTCTTCAGGCAAATAATTCTACATCTTTATTGTTCTTTAAATTCTTATTTTTTTTTCCTTTGTCGTAGACTAAATCATCTCTCTTCCAGTCTGAACACGTGACCTTGTGTCCTATGTACAGTCCTGTTTATGACTAGATTTCCACATAGTGGTTTGTATTGGCCTCATAAATATTTGCATAATGCTTTCATATCCCCTCTGAGGTGCCATTTTTCTAAACTAAAGAGATTTAAATTTGTTAAACAGTCTTCAGAAATAAAATGCTCCATTCCTTTTATTAATTTTGTAGCCCGCCTCTGCACTTTTTCTAGTGCCATAATATCCTTCTTCAGAACAGGTGCCCAAATTTGCACAGCATTTTCAAGGTCTTACCAGTGATTTATAAAGAGGCAAAATTTTCATCTCGAGAACCAATGCCCCCTTTCATGCATGACAAAACCTTACTGGCCTTAGCAACTGCAGATTGACATTGCACATTGTTGCCTAGTTTGTTGTCTATAACAAATCCCAAATCCTTCTTGTGTGTTGTTATCCCTCCCTAATTGACTACCAATTAGGGTGTAAGTTGGTTGTGCATTCTTTACCCCGAAGTACATAACTTTGCATTTCTCTACATTAAATTTAATCTGCCATTTTAGTGCCCAGTCCCCCAATCTATCTAAATCCCTCTGCAACAAAGTAATATCCTGCTCACATTGTATTACTTTACAGAGTTTTGTGTCATCTGCAAACACTGAAACATGACTTTCAATGCCTATTTCAAGATCATAATCATAAATACAGGGAGTGCAGAATTATTAGGCAAATGAGTATTTTGACCACATCATCCTCTTTATGCATGTTGTCTTACTCCAAGCTGTATAGGCTCGAAAGCCTACTACCAATTAAGCATATTAGGTGATGTGCATCTCTGTAATGAGAAGGGGTGTGGTCTAATGACATCAACACCCTATATCAGGTGTGCATAATTATTAGGCAACTTCCTTTCCTTTGGCAAAATGGGTCAAAAGAAGGACTTGACAGGCTCAGAAAAGTCAAAAATAGTGAGATATCTTGCAGAGGGATGCAGCACTCTTAAAATTGCAAAGCTTCTGAAGCGTGATCATCGAACAATCAAGCGTTTCATTCAAAATAGTCAACAGGGTCGCAAGAAGCGTGTGGAAAAACCAAGGCGCAAAATAACTGCCCATGAACTGAGAAAAGTCAAGCGTGCAGCTGCCACGATGCCACTTGCCACCAGTTTGGCCATATTTCAGAGCTGCAACATCACTGGAGTGCCCAAAAGCACAAGGTGTGCAATACTCAGAGACATGGCCAAGGTAAGAAAGGCTGAAAGACGACCACCACTGAACAAGACACACAAGCTGAAACGTCAAGACTGGGCCAAGAAATATCTCAAGACTGATTTTTCTAAGGTTTTATGGACTGATGAAATGAGAGTGAGTCTTGATGGGCCAGATGGATGGGCCCGTGGCTGGATTGGTAAAGGGCAGAGAGCTCCAGTCCGACTCAGACGCCAGCAAGGTGGAGGTGGAGTACTGGTTTGGGCTGGTATCATCAAAGATGAGCTTGTGGGGCCTTTTCGGGTTGAGGATGGAGTCAAGCTCAACTCCCAGTCCTACTGCCAGTTCCTGGAAGACACCTTCTTCAAACAGTGGTACAGGAAGAAGTCTGCATCCTTCAAGAAAAACATGATTTTCATGCAGGACAATGCTCCATCACACGCGTCCAAGTACTCCACAGCGTGGCTGGCAAGAAAGGGTATAAAAGAAGAAAATCTAATGACATGGCCTCCTTGTTCACCTGATCTGAACCCCATTGAGAACCTGTGGTCCATCATCAAATGTGAGATTTACAAGGAGGGAAAACAGTACACCTCTCTGAACAGTGTCTGGGAGGTTGTGGTTGCTGCTGCACGCAATGTTGATGGTGAACAGATCAAAACACTGACAGAATCCATGGATGGCAGGCTTTTGAGTGTCCTTGCAAAGAAAGGTGGCTATATTGGTCACTGATTTGTTTTTGTTTTGTTTTTGAATGTCAGAAATGTATATTTGTGAATGTTGAGATGTTATATTGGTTTCACTGGTAATAATAAATAATTGAAATGGGTATATATTTGTTTTTTGTTAAGTTGCCTAATAATTATGCACAGTAATAGTCACCTGCACACACAGATATCCCCCTAACATAGCTATAACTAAAAACAAACTAAAAACTACTTCCAAAAATATTCAGCTTTGATATTAATGAGTTTTTTGGGTTCATTGAGAACATGGTTGCTGTTCAATAATAAAATTAATCCTCAAAAATACAACTTGCCTAATAATTCTGCACTCCCTGTATGTTAAATAGAAGCTGTCCAAGAACAGAACCCTAAGGGACACTACCCAAGAACAAGAATTTTCATCTAGACTAATTTCTTTTAGTTTGACCACTAAGCTATTGTGTGGAACCATATCAAATGCCTTGGCAAAATCCAAGAAGACCACATCCACTGCAAAATCCTGATGTATACTTCTACTTATTTCTAGTCCGGCTGGCCCCCTCTTGCCTTCCTAAATATTGTAAAATCTTACTTTTATTGAAGTCTGTAGCTTATGGCTCTGCCCTGACCTGCCCCTGTCTGCTGACATCTTTAGAAGTGGTGGTCTGAGCCAATCACAGTGCTTCCCCATAGGATTGACTGAGCTTGTCAAGGAGGCAGATCAGGGGCAGAGTCAGCACAAGTCAAACACAGACTTAGCCAATCAGCATCTCCTCAGAGATTGAGTCAATGAATCTCTATGAGGAAAGTTTAGTGTCTGCATGCAGAGGGAGGAGACACTGAAGGCAGTGATGCTCACTGTGCAACAATGCCCCAGGAAGTACTTCTAGGTGTTATCTGATGAGTGGCCAGTGGAGTAGTTATCACCAGACTGTAATGTAAACACCGCATTTTCTCTGAAAATATAGTGTTTACAGCAAAAAGCCTGAAGAGAATGATTCTACTCACAGAACAAATACAATAAGCTGTAGTTGCTCTTGTGACTGACTATAGTGTCCATTTAATTTTAGTTTTCAAATTTCACAAACATATGTTAAAATGTTTAAGACACATTGGAAAAAAAAAAATCTCCTTTAATGAGTGATCGCTTTAGCTCTTTCTGGCATTGATTTTACAGGTTGGTGCTGAATTTTACAAACTAGTTATTTTTAGAGCATTTTAGAGAGTGTTCAGAAATGTCACAGTGTGTTTTTTCATTTCTCTTTTCATATGTTCCGAAAATGTTTAACGGGATTGATGTCCGATGACTGTGGTGGGGAATATATGCAAAATAATACCCCTCATTCTTCCTTGCTCTTCAGTTACAAGTTGCACAGCTCTAATGTATCTGCAGGATCATTGTCCTGCTGGAAAAGGAATCTTCTTCTACACAACTTCAATCTAGAAGGGCTCATGCTCCCCAGAATGGAATGGCCATTCTCTTTGATTACAGTAATACTGATCTTGTTACTGATTCCAGAATAGCCAAACAGCCGCATACCTGAATATATCCTGCCAGCGATGAAACTAGTGTGGGCTGCAAGAGCATATGCCCCTGGCGCCAGATACAGAGGGTCGCCACTGCGCCAGAAGAAGCACAGAGCTTCAAGATGTCAATCAAAAGATGTCAACTGACCGGTCCCTCATCCCACACCTGGTGCTCCCTCATCTCAGCTATATGAGAGAGGCCCATGTTGGATTCAGGTAGGGCCCTGTGAGGAACTGACTCTGCTGGGTTTCGAACCCTGGTTTACATGGTGCTAAACCTGTTCATTACCAGTACACCAGCCTGCCTTTTGCAAATTTACCTGAGATCTGATACCATTGCTTGTAGAGTCAAGGTTATCAGTGACAACTCACTTCAGCTGTGTCTAGTCAGGTGTCTGGTTCTTGGCCTATAAAAGCCACTTCCTGTCTCTTTACCTTTGCCAGATTATTGTGGTTCCTGTACTCTCTAATCCAGCGTGTTCCTGTTTCTCCTTCCTGTTGCTGAATTTGGACTGTTTTGACTTTGCTGCTTCTCCTTCCCACTGACCTCGGCTTGCCTCACTACGATTATCATCTTTCTGTTCCAGTCTCCCATCTCTGCTTAAGACCAGAAGGCCACTCAAGGCTCAGGGGCTCAACCACCTGGGTAACGAGTGGCTACCTCTGGCAGAAAACATTGCTGATCTGGCTACTGGACTCCAAAACTTTGTAACATCAATATCATTACAGAATAATCTGGCCCATTCATGGAGACCGTCGGATCAGATTCTGCATTGGCCCAGCAGGTTGCTTTTAATGCAAGAACTATGCAGACCCAGGCACAGACCATTCAAGTGCTGCAGGATCAGGTAGCTGAACTGCAAAATGAAGTTCGATCAATGCATAGTGAGCTTACCAGCTACAGGGCACATGATGTTGCGGCTGCTGCTACTACTACTGTTACACCTGCACAAGATGCCCGCTTGCCTCTACCAGAAAAATTTGGAGGAGACCGCAAAAAATTCAGGGGTTTCCTAAATCAATGCCGTTTGCATTTCATGATGTTACCTAACCGTTTTCCATCTGAAAGAGAGAAGGTGGGATTTATTTTTTCCCTCTTCAAAGATGAAGCCCTGGCCTGGGGCTCCCCTTTTCTGGAACAGGACAGTCCAATCTTGGGAAATTTAAAAGACTTTCTTGAGGCCATGTGCCTAGTTTTTGATGATCCCAATCGCTGTGCTACAGCAGAAGCCACTCTCCTTCATTTACATCAAGGGAGGCGCTCTGTGGCTGAATATGCTGCTGAATTCAGACAGTGGGTTACTGATACTACTTGGAACCAATCAGCCCAGAGGTTCCACTTCAGAAGGGGTCTCTCAGAAGCTATAAAAGATGAGCTAGCTCGTGTTGATCTTCCTGTTGAGTTTGATGCATTTGTGCGGTTGGCTATCCGTATTGATCGGAGACTTTCAGAAAGAAGATTGGAAAGACAGGGCTCTTTTAAACCAAGTGCTACTCCTACTTTCTATTCAAGAATTTCTACTCCGACCCCACAAACACCTACAGACTCTGAACCTGAGGCTATGCAGGTAGATCTAATAAGAGGGCCATTATCCAATGAAGAAAAACAGTGGCGACGCACTCACAACTTATGCCTGTATTGTGGTAGTGCAGGGCATTATGCCATCAATTGCCCTAACAAGTCTAAAAGAACAATAGCTATGACTGCTGAGGGTGCACAGATTCAACACCAATCCCAGATTTCAGACCAACTGGATTCTGTCACACAACCCTTGTTTTCTCTGGCTCAGGGTGAAGAAGGTATGATGACTCAACATCCTCATTTGGTGGTGCCTATCACTTTGCAATATGGTAATAATACAATTTCAACTACAGCTATGATAGATTCCGGAGCAGGCGGAAACTTTATGGACATTAAATTTGCAGCAGGAAATAAAATTCAGTCTATCCCTAAATCTTCACCTGTGTTAATGGAAACAGTAGACGGTTCTCCACTTACGTCAGGCCCGGTTACACATGAGACTGTGCCCTTAAAATTGATTCTGGAAGTGAATCACCATGAGTCTATATCTTTCCACCTAATTTCCTCAACACAGTTTCCAGTGATTTTGGGTATACCCTGGCTTGCTCTGCATAACCCACAGATTGATTGGAAGACTAGAACTTTGTCCTTTCCTTCAGAACACTGCTTAATGAATTGTCAACCCTCTAAGGCGACACCTGTTACCACAACAATTAATGAAATGGTTGCTACAAACTTAACTAAGCTTCCGCTACAATATCAGGATTTTGCAGATGTCTGTGATAAGAAGAATGCTGATCAGCTTCCACCTCACAGGCCTTATGATTGCCCCATAGAGCTGCTACCTGGAGCTGCTATCCCATTTGGCCGTATATACTCCCTTTCTGAGCCTGAATTGAAAGCCTTCGTGAATACATACAAGAAAATCTTGCCAAAGGCTTTATTCGACCATCCACTTCTCCAGCAGGAGCTCCTATATTCTTTGTAGAAAAGAAAGATGGCAGTCTACGACCATGTGTCGATTACAGGGACATTAATAAAATCACTGTTAAAAACCGTTATCCCTTGCCTCTCATTCCTGAACTTCTGGAGAGACTTCGTTCAGCTAAAATATTTACGAAGCTTGATCTACGGGGGGCATATAATCTGGTTCGCATAAGACCAAATGATGAATGGAAAACAGCTTTCAGAACCAGGTACGGACATTACGAATATCTAGTAATGCCATTTGGGCTTTGTAATGCCCCTGCAACTTTTCAGCATCTAATCAATGATGTACTACGGGATCTCCTGGATCAGTTTGTTGTGGCATATTTGGATGATATCCTGATATTTTCTGATAATCTTGAAAATCACAGAAAACAGGTCTGCATTGTTCTTGAGCGCCTTCGTACCCACCACCTATACATTAAACTGGAAAAATGTGAGTTTGAACAAACAGAAATTCAGTTCCTGGGGTATGTAATAACTCCTAAAGGTTTAAGTATGGACGCAAGTAAAATTAAAGCTGTGCTGGACTGGCCCATCCCCAAGAATGAAAAAGATATACAGAGATTTGTGGGGTTTGCCAATTTTTACAGGCGTTTCATTAAGAATTTCTCTGCCGTTATTACACCGATCACTGAACTTACACGTAAAGGGACTCCTTTTCAGTGGTCCAATAAGGCTGACACTGCATTTTCCAGATTAAAGACTCTGTTTACATCTGCCCCTATCTTGGTACATCCTCAGCCAGAATTGCCATTTACTGTAGAGGTAGATGCTTCTGATTCAGCTGTTGGGGCTATACTATCTCAAAGGACTGGACCTAAGATGTTGTTACATCCATGTGCCTTCTATTCCCTCCAGATGTTACCAGCAGAAAGAAATTATGACATAGGGAATAAAGAACTTTTGGCTATAAAAGCTGCCTTCACCGAATGGAGACATCTCTTGGAGGGAGCCACCCATCCAATTACTGTCCTCACAGATCACAAAAATCTGGAATGTATCCAATCCGCTAAGAGACTGTCAGCCAGACAAGCACGCTGGTCCCTATTCTTCTCAAGGTTTAATTTTTTTATTTCATACCGCCCTGGTTCCAGAAATGGCAAGGCGGATGCCTTGTCTAGGATAGCTGACCCCCTCCATACTACAGTAACCAAGGCCACCATCTTGCCGGAGAGCAGATTTTTAGGAGTTACCTTTCCTTCTGATCTAATGTCTCGCATTATAAAGGGCTACTCTAAAGATCCAGTTTTTCGTGATCCTCCTCGTGATCTTCATATGACCATGCTTAATGGGTTTTGGATTTTTCAACAACGTCTGTTTGTTCCAGAATCAGTGCGACTGGACGTTTTACGCCTCTACCATGACTCTAAACCAACAGGTCATCCAGGAATCCGAAAGACACAAGAACTACTTACCCGATCCTTTTGGTGGCCTAAATATTATGAGGATGTTAAGAAGTATGTGTCCTCTTGTGATGTATGTGCCAGACATAAGACTCCTCGCTCATCCCCTGTTGGCTTGCTTCAGCCTCTTCCGATTCCTCATCGCCCCTGGGGATCTATATCCATGGACTTTATTGTGGAACTACCTCCCTCTAAGGAACACACTACTATTCTTGTTGTTGTGGACTGGTTAACCAAGATGAGTCATTTCATACCAGCTCGTGGTCTCCCTTCAGCTAAACAGACTGCTGACCTTGTTATTCGGGAAATATTTCGCTTGCATGGAGTGCCTGATGAAGTAATTTCTGACAGGGGAGTGCAGTTTACATCTCATTTTTGGAAATATTTTTGTTCTATTCTAGGTATTAATGTAAATCTGTCTTCAGCTTTTCATCCACAAAGTAATGGATAGACTGAGCGAACCAACCAGACTTTAGAACAATATTTGCGGTGCTATATTAGTTACCTGCAGGATGACTGGCTGGATTTTCTACCCACGGCGGAGTTTGCCTATAACAATGCCCAACACTGCTCCACTTCTCTGAGCCCATTTTTTGCCAATTATGGTTACCATCCAACCTTTCTAGTGAGTCTCCCAATTACTACTCCCATTCCTGCAGTCACTGACCGGCTAACCGCCTTACGAGATTCCCAAGAACTGTTGAAGGAGACTCTTTCGGAGGCTCAGGAATGTTACAAAAGAGCTGCTGATAGGCACAGAAAGGAGGCCCCAGTTTATCATGTTGGTGACAAGGTTTGGCTGTCAACAAAGAATCTTAAGCTTAGGATTCCTTCTCATAAATTGGGTCAAAAGTTCATGGGACCTTTTAAGATAATTGCTCAGATCAATGCAGTCACCTTCCGTCTGCAACTTCCGGATTCCATGAAAATACATCCGGTGTTTCACGTGGCACTGCTTAAACCTTTTCATGAAAATACTTTCCCTGGTCGAGCCTTGCCTGCCCCACCACCAGTCCTCGTGGATGGTGAAGATGAATACGAGGTGGAAAAAATTCTTGACTCCAGGATCTTCCGCAACAAGCTTCAATACTTGGTTCATTGGAAAGGCTATGGTGAGGAGGATAGATCATGGGAACCAGTGGACAATATTCATGCTCCTGATCTTCTTCAGTCTTTCCATGCACAGTACCCTGCTAAACCAGGAAATAGGGCATCCAGAGGCTGCGCCTGTAGAGGTGGAGGTAATGTGAGGAACTGACTCTGCTGGGTTTCGAACCCTGGTTTACATGGTGCTAAACCTTTTCATTACCAGTACACCAGCCTGCCTTTTGCAAATTTACCTGAGATCTGATACCATTGCTTGTAGAGTCAAGGTTATCAGTGACAACTCACTTCAGCTGTGTCTAGTCAGGTGTCTGGTTCTTGGCCTATAAAAGCCACTTCCTGTCTCTGTACCTTTGCCAGATTATTGTGGTTCCTGTACTCTCTAATCCAGCGTGTTCCTGTTTCTCCTTCCTGTTGCTGAATTTGGACTGTTTTGACTTTGCTGCTTCTCCTTCCCACTGACCTCGGCTTGCCTCACTACGATTATCATCTTTCTGTTCCAGTCTCCCATCTCTGCTTAAGACCAGAAGGCCACTCAAGGCTCAGGGGCTCAACCACCTGGGTAACGAGTGGCTACCTCTGGCAGAAAACATTGCTGATTTGGCTACTGGACTCCAAAACTTTGTAACATCAATATCATTACAGGCCCTGTTGTTCACTGGAACGTCTTAAATTCCTGCAAGATGTTTCAGCGCACATCAGTTGGTCAGTAAGGAAAGCAGAACTCCCACCCCCTTCTGAAGCTGAATCACTGCTGCTGTGTACAGACACGTAAGAGTGCAGAGGGTGGAAGAGAATGGGATAGTGAGGATGGGAGGAGGGAATTGGGTAATGAGCATGGGAGTAATTGCCCAGCACATGAAGCTGGGAACTCACTAAACCCAGTGCGTACCAGCAGGCTGCGGATGATAGTAATGTGATTACCACACTCCTATCTTTCAAAGACGCACAATCACTAATAGCGATCGCGTCTCTTTAAAACAAGGTAGCAGCGGGTAGACACACTGATCCCAATCTGCACCGGCTGTCTGGACACGAGCACTTCTATCATTTAAAGCGTGTGATTAATAAAAGCAATTGCTTTGGAAGACGCTGTCGCTGCGAGGAGATCCAGGAGACCTGGTGAAAGAATGTCTAGCTTCACAGTGTATCCCAAACTCTTTAAGTGTGGATGGAAAGTTGCCATAGGACCTGCTTGCAGTAAATAAAGGGTACATTTTTTTTTTCCACTTCGTCATGTTTAGATCATATATTTAAACATTTTGAGGTGTGAAATATCCCAAGATGCAAAACCACATAAACCTGAGGAAAACAAGAAAGGCAGACTGTGAGCTGGTCATTTATTCAATTGGGGAGTAATGCCACACAGAAATATATGAATATATTGTGACAAGCAACGCTTACCCTGGACGTTTGCCACAAACTCCTGGAGGAGTGTGAAAGCTGGCCTCCTGCCCACCGATTATGGGACTTATACAATATGACCAACTCAACTCAATATTTTCCCTTCATTTGGCAAGACACTTCTCCAGTTCGGCAGTTACACTCTACCTAACACCAATAACCCCCTGGATCATTAACTACAAAGAAACCACAGACTTAATTGCTCACCCTGTGCTGGAGAAAATGGCAGCCATCTTGTCGCACGAATGCAGGAAGCGGGACTTGGTTGTCGAGTGTCTGGAACTATAAGTCAGAGTTTTTTTGCAGTAAACACTGTCTAGGGATAGCTCCACTGGCCACTCCTCAGATGGCTGCTAGAGGTGCTTCCTGGGGCAGTGCTGCACATTGTGCAGAACTGATAGTCAGTGTGTCCACCCTCTGCATGGGGAAGCAGAACTTTCCTCATAGAGATACATTGATTCTATGCATCTCTATAATGAGATGCTGATTGGCCAAGGCTGTGTTTGGCTTGTGCTGCCTCTGCCCCTGATTTGCCTCCTTGACAGTCTCAGACAATCCTATGGAAAAGCATTGTGATTGGCTCAGAGAATCACTTTGATGATGTCAGCCAAACAGGCAGATCAGGGGCAGAGCCAGCAGCAGCAGAATGGAATACAGGCATTACTATATTAAGGGAGGCAAGGGGGTGGGGGGGGGGACGACAACTGTTGGCTAGATGGTGGTTTTAACACTATAAGGTCAGTAATACATGTTTGTGTTCCTGACCCTATAATGTTCCTTAAAAAAGGAAAAACATACTGTCCGTGATCTGAATACCTTTTAGAAACGTCTGTGTGTTTACATATTTTAACTGTTTAAATTCTGGCCTGCACACATAACATGGTTTTAGAGGGAACACTGCACACTCGGCCCTCATCAGACAGAGCTTCCCACAAATCCCACATAGGGAGTTCAGAAAGGTTCCAGTCAGTTAAGAAAGGTTTAATTGATTTGGCTACAAATTATCACTGATAACGGGACTATTCACTAAAATGGTGAATTAATCTAAATAATACTTCAAAGCAGAACAGCCCATGAAGTTCTGGTCCACTTCTTTGCTCTGCTAGCCCATTCCTTGCTCCACTCCATTCTTAATTCACTAGTCACCCAACTAGACCCAACAATATTTTTCTAATTATAAAAATCCAGTCCTTATGGTTTATGATTAATACAGTGAGGGGAAAAAGTATTTGATCCCCTGCTGATTTTGAACTTTTACCCACTGACAAAGAAATGATCAGTCTATTATTTTAATGGTTGATGTATTTTAACAGTGAGAGACAGAATAACAAAAAAAAAAATATATATATATATATATAAATCCAGAAAAACGCATGTAAAAAATATATGTAAATTGATTTGCATGTCAATGAGTGAAATAAGTATTTGATCCCCTATCATTAGGATTTCTGGCTCCCAGGTGACTTTTATACAGGTAACGAGCTGAGATTAATAGCACTCTCTTAAAGGGAGTATTCCTAATCTCAGCTTGTTACCTGAATAAAAGACACCTGTCCACAGAAGCAATCAATCAGATTCCAAACTCTCCACCATGGCCTTGTCAGGGGTGGTGGTATGGAAACTGGGACCCCTGAGTGCATGATGATAAGTGGGAGTCTTCAGCATGGAAGTGGATTATCAGGGCCTGGTACAGGGCAACCGCACGCCCCCTGGTGTTGAGCACCAGCGTTTGTGCAGCCACATACCAGAACCCTGATGCAGTTTATGCGGATCCCAGGAACTAGGAGCTTGGAATTAAGCAGACCTCCCAGGAGCTGAATAGGGAGGCTGTGCAGCAGGAGTGTATCCAGTACTGAAGCAAGGCAAGACTAGAGATAGGCACCATACATGAAAACAAGACTAAACTAGGAGAGCCCAGAACCAGAGAAGGATAGGAAGCTAAACCCAGAACACGTACACAATACAGAAGGGAACATTAACTAAACAGGGACAGGACAGGACTGTACATGGACTGGGGTAACAAAATAAAAGACAAGATATAATCAGGGCCGGACTGGCCCACCGGGATACCGGGAAATTTCCCGGTGGGCCGCGGCACCAGGGGGCCGGCCGCGTTCCTGGGCCGGTCCTTTAAAATACTGCAGCCGCCCGAGCGCTCTGTTAAGAGCCTCAGGCGGCTGCAGCTTCTCCCCTCCCTCCCCTGTAGCGTGGCCGAGCTGCACTCCGGTCCGCGGTGGCCGGCCGTCCGGAGTGATAGGAAGGGGCACACTGAGTGTGCACTTCCTGTCAGTCCGGCCGGTGACAGGAAACAGAAACCCCGCGCGGAACAGGAGTTTCTGTTTCCTGTAACCGGCCGGACTGACAGGAAGTGCACACTCAGTGTGCACCTTCCTATCACTCCGGCCGGCCACCGCGGACCGGAGTGCAGCTCGGCCACGCTACAGGGGAGGGGGTAAGAAGAGAGGGAGGAGGGGGGGTAAGAAGAGAGGGAGGAGGGGGGTAAGAAGAGAGGGGAGGAGGGGGGTGAAGAAGAGAGGGGGGGGTAAGAAGAGAGGGAGTGAGGGGGGGGTAAGAAGAGAGGGAGGAGGGGGGGGTTAAGAAGAGAGGAGGAGGGGGTAAGAAGAGAGGGAGGAGGGGGAATAAAAGAGGGGGGGAATAAGATGAGGGGAGGGGGGGAATAAGATGAGGGAGGGGAATAAGAAGAGGGGAGGGGGGAATAAGAAGAGGGGAGGGAGGGGAATAAGAAGAGGGGAGGGAGGGGAATAAGAAGAGGGGAGGGGGGATAAGATGGGGGGGAATAAAAAGAGGGGAGGAATAAGAAGAGGGGAGGGAGGGGAATAAGAAGAGGGGAGGGAGGAATAAGAAGAAGGGGCAGCTCTATAGGACAGGGGCCAAGACAGGGAGCTCTTTCACACTACGCGCGCACACACACACAATGCATCCCTATACATACACAGAAACACAACATGCTTCCCTTACACACAGAGAAACACACAATGCATCCATTACACACACACACACACATGCAACCCTTACACACAAAGACAATGCATCCTTTGCACACATACACAGAAACAGACAATGCAAACCCGTACACACGCATGCAAACACACACACTTCTTTTCTTACATACACACAGAAACACAATGCATCTCATGCACACACATACAGACACACACCTTGCATCCCTTATGCATACAAACACAGATTCACACAAAGCATCCCTTACACACAACCAGAAACACATAATACATCCCTTATACACAAATACACACTGCTTCCACTACACACAAACACACTGCATCACCTGCACAAACTGGTAACCCTAAACACTACATACCATAAGCACACATATTAGATCCTCTACAATAACACATAACACATCCCCTACACACTCCACTCCCTGTGAGCGAACTCATGGGTGGGTGGAACTTATGAGTGGGCCTTATGGGCATACTCACCGTCAGGCCCTGGGGCCCAGACCTTGAGCTGTGTAAGGGGCCCCAAAAAATTGAGCTGCTTCCAATTCTCCCAGAACATTGAATTTTGTGACCACAGTTGCAAACAGCCTCCAGAGATCCTGTTCTACACCAGACCAGTGGAGCCAAACTGCAGCCCATCATCATCCTCATCTGCTTGTAAGTAGGCAATCTAGTATATTATTAGTGACACTAATCTATAATTTACCTCACATTAAAGGGACACTATAGCTTAATGAAGTGGTTCTGGTGTCTATAGCTGGTCCCTGCAGGCTTTTTAATGTAAACACACACTGTGTGCAGCACTGGCGTTAGTTCATATGGCAGATCATATGGGTGGGGCATTGTGATGTGACATGTGGGGGCAGCAAATTTTTATTTTGTCTAGGGCGGCAAAAATCCTTGCACCGGCTCTGATCCTGGGCAGGTGCACCAGTCTACTTGACTGGTTTTGCCCCCCAGGCCTAAGGCTGCCAGCCCTCCCCTGGCCGCTGGGGAGGTCTTTTGGCGGCCGCTGGCGGACTTGTCCTGGCGGCCGCTGAGGGAGCTGCGCGAGCTGCGCTGGCTCTGCTCCCCAGCACGCAGCTGAATGAGACCGGCGCCGGAATATGACGTCATATTCCGGCGCCAGTCTCATTCAGCAGCGCGCGAGGGCGGGAGGTCACTAACACAGGAAGCACCTCTAGTGACCGTCTGAGTGACTGTCACTAGCAATGTCACTTTGAAGCAATGTAAACACTGCCTTTTCTCTGAAAAGTCAGTGTTTACGTTGAAAAGCCTGTAGCGACATGCTATAGACACCAGTACCACCACATTAAGCTGTGTGTGCGTCTGCTAGTGAGTGAGCTTGCTTGCATGCGTGTGCCTGCTAGTGAGTGAGCTTGTGTTTTTATGTCAATGAGCTGATGTATATCAGTAAGATTGTTTGTCTATGAGGCTGTGTATCAATGAGCTTGTGTGTGTCACTGACAATTGCCTGTGTCTGCATGTGCGTATGCTTACTGTATAATTAAACGTTTTACCCTGAAAGGACCAATATTTTATATTAGAAAAAGCAATATATATATATTTTTATATATATATATATTACTCAATTATCTGTCCTGGCAAGACATAGCCTTACATATTACACGCGACAATATATGGCACAGTGACTTATGGGGCTGGCACAAATTTTTTTTCCAGGGCTGCTTTGTATGCCCAGTCCAGCCCTGGATATAATAGGCAAAACAAGAGGAGACATAACTAAGCACTATATATGAAAAGTATGGGGATTTAGTTACATTATATGATCATACATTGCATAAGCCTGCCACAACGCCAATGTACCCCATATCTGGCAGGTCCTACACTGCCTAATGTATACTAAAAGAACCATAAGAAACACATATATAGCACTTACCTGCAAGAAAGGGCAGAGACTTGAAACACTGCTGCAGGTCCAGACTGAAACAAAAGGAAAGTGGAAAACAAACAGGTGTGGCAACATAAAACAAACATTTAAAGGAAACCTGGACACTGGGAATTCCAGGGACGGATTACAGGAATGAACCCAGCATAAAGAAAACCAGACATAGAATAGAAAACCAAAAAAACCAAGAAAAACTAAACAAGAAAGGTAAAAAGAGTACTGGATACCAGAAGTCAAAGCCAGACATCTCCGCAGAACATGGCATGATGTGACAGGCCAAGACCAAAGAGCTGTCCAAGGATGTCAGGGACAAGATTGTAGACCTACACAAGGCTAGAATGGGCTACAAGACCATCGCCAAGCAGCTTGGTGAGGTGACAACAGTTGGTGCGATTATTCACAAATGGAAGAAACACAAAAAATAACTGTAAGTCTTCTTCGGTCTAGTGCTCCATGCAAGATCTCACCTTGTGGAGTTTCAATGATCATGAGAACGGTGAGGAATCAGCCCAGAACTACACGGGAGGATCTTGTTAATGATCTCAAGGCAGCTGGGTCCATCTGCTCAAGAAAGTCCATGTACAGGCCTGTCTGAAGTTTGCCAATGAAGATCTGAATGATTCAGAGGAAAACTAGGTGAAAGTGTTGTGGTCAGATGAGACCAAAATCAAGCTCTCTGGCATCAACTCAACTTGCCATGTTTGGAGAAGGAGCAATGCTGCCTATGACCCCAAGAACACCATCCCCACCATCAAACATTGTTAGAGTATTTATATCGGCAGACATCTTGTGCTATGATAGAAATTAAAAGTGTATATGCTGAGTCACTTTTGAACAGAGCAGACTCCATTTTGTTTTTTCCAAGCTAACAAAAGACACAAGATTTCTATCTGTAAAACTAACCACTTTCCCAGAGCTAAAGGAATGCATAGTATATACAAACCAAGTGATAAGGAGAACGGGGGTTGGACAGACTGTCTAAAATGTTAATGGAATAGATGCATATCTAAACACAGACATTTGTGACAGAGGAGATTAAATAATAAAATTTTACTTTCTATATGTACAAGGTCCCATTGTAAGTTACGGGTCAAAACTCAGAATTTGCCAGACACATAGTCAGTTGAGAAAAAGGATAAATTAGTCATTTATTACACGTGAGTTTACAGAGGAAGAGGTTCTATTTCAACTGTCAAAAGTAAAGACAAATAAGTCAATGGGACCTGATGGAATACACCCAAAGCTATTAAAGGAGCTTAGTGGTGTACTAGCAAAACCATTAACAGATTTATTTAACCAATCATTAACAGGAGTAGTCCCAGAAGATTGGAAGTTAGCGAATGTTGTGCCCATTTACAAGAAAGGTAATAGGGAGGAGTCGGGCAACTATAGGCCAGTAAGCCTTACTTCAGTAGTGGGGAAAGTGATGGAAACCATGTTAAAGGATAGGATTGATGAACACCTAAAAACACATGGATTTCAAGATCAGAGACAACATGGGTTTACTTCAGGGAGATCATGCCAAACTAATCTTATTGATTTTTTTGATTGGTAACTAAAATTATAGATCAGGGTGGTGCAGTAGACATTGCTTACCTAGATTTCAGTAAGGCTTTTGACACTGTTACACATAGGAGGCTTATCAATAAACTGCAATCTTTAAGTTTGGATTCCAATATTGTTGAATGGGTAAGGCAGTGGCTGAGTGACAGGCAACAGAGGGTTGTAGTTAATGGAATATATTTGAAGCTTGGACTTGTCACCAGTGGGGTACCTCAGGGATCTGTACATGGACCCATTCTCTTTAACATTTTTATTAGTGATATTGCAGAAGTTCTTGATGGTAAGGTATGTCTTTTTGCTGATGATACTAAGATATGTAACAGGATTAATGTTCAGGAGGGATAAGCCAAATGACAAATGATTTAGGTAAACTAGAAAAATGGTCAGAATTGTGGCAACTGACATTTAATGTGGATAAGTGCAAGATAATGCATCTTGGACGTAAAAACCCAAGGGCAGGGTACAGAATATTTGATAGAGTCCTAACCTCAACATATGAGGAAAGGGATTTAGGGGTGATTATTTCTGATGACTTAAAGGTAGGCAGACAATTTAATAGAGCAGCAGGAAATGCTAGCAGAATGCTTGGTTGTATAGGGAGGAGGTATTAGCAGTAGAAGAGGGAAGTGCTTTCATGCCATTATACAGAACACTGGTGAGACCTCACTTAGCAGGTATTGGCACACAGTACTGGAACCCGTATCTTCAGAGGATATTGTTATTACCTTAGAGAGGGGTTCAAGAGGGCTACTAAACTGGTTCATGGATTCTTGGGATAAAACTTACCAGGAAGGAAGGTTAAAGGATCTTAACATGTATAGCTTAGGAGGAAAAGAAATGAGACAGGGGATATGATAAACATTTAAATATATAAAGGAATCCAACCTGATAAAAGGAGGGAGACTATATGTTTTAAAGAAGAAAAACTACAACAAGAGGACATAGTCTTAAATTAGAGGGGCAAAGGTTTAAAACTAATATCAGGAAGTATTACTTTACTGAGAGGGTAGTGGATGCATGGAATAGCCTTCCAGCTGGAGTGGTAGAGGTTAACACAGTAAAGGAGTTTAAGCATGCGTGGGATAGGCATAAGGCTATCCTAACTATAAGATAAGGCTAGGGACTAATGAAGGTTTTAAATAGATAGTCTGCCGTCACATTCTATGTTTCTATGTTTCTATGTTTATATATGTAATTGTTTCTATCATATCCCCCCTGTCTCGTCTTTCCTCCAAGCTATACATGTTAAGATCCTTTAACCTTTCCTGGTAAGTTTTATCCCGCAATCCATGAACCAGTTTAGTAGCCCTTCTCTGAACTCTCTAAAGTATCAATATCCTTCTGAAGATACGGTCTACCAGTACTGTGTACAATACTCCAAGTGAGGTCTCACCAGTGTTCTGTACAATGGCATGAGCACTTCCCTCTTTCTACTGCTGATACCTCTCCCTATACAACCAAGCATTCTGCTAGCATTTCCTGCTGCTCTATTACATTGTCTGCCTACCTTTAAGTCATCAGAAATAACCACCCCTAAATCCCTTTCCTCACATGTTGAGTTTAGGACTCCGCCCTTGGGTTTTTATGTCCAAGATGCATTATCTTGCACTTATCCACATTAAATGTCAGTTGCCACAACTCTGATATGGGTCTTTACAGTCGCTGACCTGGCCCATAGTCGGTGGGCAAGAGGCCAGCTCCCACACTCCTCCAGGAGTCCGTGGCAAACGTCTGTGGAAAGTGGCGTTTATCACAGTCAAGTAGAGTATGATTGTCTTCACTGTATACCTCAACCCTACAAACTCAGTATATGCATTATAGACAGCAGCTTAGCCGATTTAATTTCAACCTGTTGCAGACTATTGGTTCACTATGTTTCCAGTTACACTGAATCATTTACACTTTGAACGTTGTCTTATGCTTTATAATCAGTGACATTAGAGGATATGTACTCACATCCCGAACATTACACTCCACTGGTAGAAAACTCCTACCGGTTACAACCTCATCTTCCCGAATCTGAAACTGAAGAACAAGATGGCTGATATCATTTCCCATGTTTTCTGCTTGTCAGGAGCAAATCGTAACGACTGTTTCATGATGTTTGTATAATAAATTGTCAGTGATGCATTGTGCGTGCTTGTGGGAGCAGAAGATCCATTTCAAGAATCTTTCACAAAGAAAACGTCATTTCAAGTACACCGCTTAATAACCGTATGTCAGGGGCTGTCAAGAATATTGAAATATATCTGTAACTGAAACAAATGACTAAAACTATAGGCAGCAGGTAATAGCTACAGAACAATAAACAGGTGCAGGACTAAAGGAGTGAAACCGCCGCTTAGTAGAGCTTCCCTTTTCAGGGATACAGGCACGACTACTTTAGAACCCTAAACTCCCGAACTGGAACCAGGGGAATGCTCCTAACTCCCGAACAGCGTACCAGTAATACTTCAAACTCCCGAACAGTAATTCCACGAATCGCTGCTAACAGACGAACAGACACAGCATCCAAGTGGCTCACATTCCCAGCAGTCAGTCTCTATCCGTGTATAGTAAATCCACCCCCAATCACGAGACCAAGCTCCGCATTGAGGGTAAAACAAGATCTGGCTTTAATGAAGGCTACCTGCCCGTATTTATGCAGGTCTCCTACTTGGTGGACACTCCCCTAGGGGACCAAATGGGAGACTGTAACAAAGGACAGACAGGTTTCAGATCAGGACACACAGTCACAATACATCCCCACAATGCACCCTGGCTTCCTCCTCTCTGCCCTGGAGATAATTGAGAAGTAATTCAATTATCTCCCAAGACAAAGGGAAATCGCCATTATACACGTGGGGACACCAGAATAGAAATTACTGTTAAAATATACAGTGTCACAAATGTCACAATAAATACAGACATATAACATACCCCTCAGGTCTGAGCGCACATTATTAGGTGAATGGCGCTCAGACCACGCAAATACAGTTTAATCGCCATGGAGCCAAAGTCTTTAATTCCACGAACAGGCTCCATGGCATGCTATCTGGGTACCCTCACATGTAATACAGTATAAGACATAAAGTCCCGAATGCTCCGCTGTTCGGTTCAAGAACGGAGCTGAAGACCCGTAGGCTGGTAGTTCAGCGGTGCTTGGGAGGAAAAGTGCGCGCTTTTGGTGTACTGATGCTGGGCATAGCACTGCTGGCTGTCCGGGGGAGCTTCCATAACACCGCCACCGTGTGGCGGCTATGTGTAACCGCGACCACCCAGTAACAGTTAATTAAGCTGCGGTTACCCGCAGATACTGGGTGGTCAATTGACTACACACGCCAGCTTCCCGGTGGTCGCGTATTCGGTAGTCTTTCGGGAAACAATACGGGGAAACAGGGTGTGACAGAACCATCTGTCTACTTATTTCAGGTGGATTCGTCTATTTCTGCCCCCTTTCGTGTAAACGGCTGTTTCTATAGCCCAGCCATACGAATGACTGTTTTTCCCGAACAAACCTACCGAACGGACGGCCACCCAAGAGAGAAGTGTGCTGCTGGTTAACCTATTGATCCCAATTAGAACGTTGTGGTTAACCGCAGACACTTCTCAATTAAACCAAATTCAGGGTGGTCGTCGTTCGTATGTTGACCACGAGGCAGCGGCCATTTTAAACCACGCGAAAGCCCAGCGGTGTTTGGCTCTATTTCTATGGAACTAAAAACTGACACTTTTTCTGCCGAACACCGCTGAAACAACGGAACGCCTGGCTGCCTCCACGAAAGCATACGAATACCGGCCGTTCGGGAGCTTTGAAGCATACGAAAGGACTTAACCCAGATAGCCTTCCCATGGAGTCATTCGTATACCGAAAGACTGTAAGAACTTTGACTCCATGGCGATTGAACTATGTGTGGGATCTGAGCGCTATTCGCTAATAATATGCACTCAGATCCAGGCTATCTGGGGATATGTGATACGAATGGGAAATGTTCAGTTATTTCAAAGTTATGTATTTTTATGTCTTTTATGATTTTATATTTAAAATGGCGACTGGCTTTGTCCTGGAGATAATTGAGTTACTTGGTAATTATCTCCAGGGCAGAGGGGAGGGAATCATAGTGCATTGTGGGTAAAAACTGTGACTGTGTGTCTGGAATGTCCCCATATCTGTCTGTCATTTAAGTCTCCCATTTGGTCCCCTAGGGGAGTGTCCACCAAGTGGGAGACCTGCATAAATGCGGGCAGGTAGCCCACAGTAAAGCCAGATCCTGTTTGACCCTCAATGCGGAGCTTCTGTCTCGTTACTGGGGGGATTTCTTCTTCACGTTTAGAGACTGCTGGATGGAAATGAAAGCCGCTTGGTGGATGTTATTGTTCGGCAGCTAGCAGCAGTTCGTGTATTGCCGTTCGGGAGTTTGGAGCCGTTCACGGATCCCGGTCGGGAGATTGCCGCTTCCCCTGCATTTGGTTCGTGCACTACAGGTTAGGCGAACGGAGTTACTGATATTGCAGACGGGGAAGGTCTACTAAACGGAGGTTTTGCCTAAAGACACTGGAGGTGTCTTAACACAGGGGGACTGTACGGGCAAAGAAATAACCGAACAAACAGACGAATGGAGGGAGGAGAAACATAATCCAAAGACAGACGGTTCTGTCACAGTGTACATATGAGATGGGAACAGAGAAGCTCCAATGGCCAAAAGAAACACTGTAAGTACCATAACTACTACTTCTCATTGGAGTTCCCTGCCGCTGTCCCACCGTCCAGTGTTAAACCATTTTCAATCAGTTTAATACTGAATGAGGGTCCCAGTTCACCCATAGCTTTGCTTTAATCTGAATTGCAACGTAAAGGCTACAATAGCCGAGCTGTGTAACTGTAGAAGAGTTGGAAAATTTCTACATATCGGCTAATTTAGTCTGACATTTGTCATTTAGGTTTCTTCTTACTGCAGCTCTTATATTGGTAAATAAACTCTATAAATATCAGACTGGCAGAAAACTCCAGGCATGGAGTGGATGGTGTTGCCAGTTCTGGAGTGAGAGCTGTGCGGAATGGGCACTCTTCAGTGAAATGTTACAAAAGACGTTGAAGCTGTCCATGAAAGGGAACACTAGAATGGCAGCAATACCAAAAATACCAACAATACTTTAAGGAGGATTGTTCAACGACAATGCAAGGGATACAAAGGAAACCAGTGTAAATCTCATTCCTCCCAACAAGAAATATGTACGAAAGGACATGTCAGCTACAGACGCCATGGTAGTGATATGGGGTGTCTCTTTTCCCATAAAAAATACGTTAGGTCTGCACACGTGCAAGCCAAGCTGAAAGCCTACTTCTTGCTAATTGACCATATTTATATTCTTGCAATGGTAATTATTTTAATTACAGAACAAACACAGTCAGTCTGTATAGATGCACTTTGTCTCTGTACATGCAGCTTACCATCTAAGTCCCTCTAACTAGTCTTCATATCCATGGCTAAACACTCTTCTGTTCTGTTTTAAGTGCTGGGTGTGCTGTGTCCCTGTCCCCTTAACTCAGCAGTGTAAAAACGACCAAGCAGTTTCAGAGAAAATGTAATGTTTACATTGCAGGGCTGAGACAGCCTCTAATGGTTATCTTCCAGACACTAAAGGTGCTTCCTGGTCTCTAACCGAGTTAACCGTCTTCAAATTCCCCATAAGAAAGCATTAATTCAATGGCTATTCAATGGGGTATTCTGGATATTGGGCTATTCTGGTATTCTGGATAATGGGGTATTCTGGTATTCTGGATACTGGGCTACTCTGGTATTCTATATAATGGGGTATTCTGGATATTGGGCTACTCTGGTATTCTATATAATGGGGAATTCTGGATATTGGGGTATTCTGGTATTTTGGATATATGGGTATTCTGGATGATGGGGTATTCTGGTATTCTGGATATTGGGGTATTCTGATATTCTGGATAATGGGGTTGTTAAGACACCCCTGGTGTCTTTAAGGGAAACCACCGCTTAGTTAACCTTCCCCTTTCGCAATATCAATAACTCCGTTCGCATAGACTGCGGTATACGAACCACCATCAGGGGAAGTGGTAATCTCCTGAACGGCATCCGTAAGAGGCTCCAAACTCCCGAACAGAAATCCACGAATCTCCGCTAGCCGCCGAACAAGTATATCCACAAAGCGGCTTTCGGCTCCAGCAATCAGTCTCTAGTCGTCGGTAATAAATCCCCCCAATAACGAGACCAAGCTCCGCATTGCGGGTCAAACAGGATCTGGCTTTACTGTGGGCTACCCACCCGTATTTATGCAGGTCTCCCACTTGGTGGACAGCCCCCCAAGGGGACCAAATGGGACACTATAATGACAGATGGACATGGGGACATTTCGGACATACAGATACAAACTTCCCACAATGCAGTATGGTTTCCTCCCTTCTGCCCTGGAGATAATTGAGAAGTAATTCAATTATCTCCAGGACAAAGACAAATCGCCATCTTAAATAAAATACCAGAAAACACACAAAAATATATAATTTCACAACCACCGAACACTCTGCATTCGTATCACATATCCCCAGATAGCCTGGATCTGAGTGCATATTATTAGCGAATAGCGCTCAGATCCTATATGCATAGTTCAATCGCCATGGAGTCAAAGTTCTTACAGTCTTTCGGTATGCGATTGACTCCATGGGAAGGCTATCTGGGTTAAGTCTTTTTGTGTGATTCCAAACTCCCGAACGGCCGGTGTTCGCATGCTTTCGTTGATGGAGCAGGGCGACCCGTTGTTTCAGCGGTGTTTGGCATTTTCCATGAAATCAATGCCAAACACCGCTGGTCTTTCGTGCGATCTAAAATGGCCGCTGCCTCGTGGTCAACATGCGAACGACGGCCACCCTGTATTCGGTTTTAATTGAGAAGTGTCTGCGGTTAACCACAACGTTCTAATTGGGATCAAGAGGTTAACCAGCAGCACACTTCTATCCTGGGTGGCCATCCGTTCGGTAGGTTTATTCGGTAAAAAGGTTCATTTGTATGCATGGGCTATGGAAACAGCCGTTTACACGAAAGGAGGGCAAAATAGACGAATCCATCATGAATAGGCATACAGATGGTTCTTTCACACGGCTCCCTTCAGACCCGGCTTGACCCTTTGGCGGGTCAACTTGGGGATGACCGGACTAGGAGGCGGTGGGGATGTCAGTTTGCCGGGACAATCCATCTGCATTCCCGTTCTGCTTACCGGGTCGGTAGCTGGTGAAGTTATATGGTTGTAGCGCCAAACTCCACCTCAGTAGTCTACCATTGTCTCCTAAGACCCGGTTAAGCCAGACGAGAGGATTATGGTCAGTCACAAGGGAAAACTCTTGCCCGTATAAGTAGGGACTTAACCAGGGCCAAACACTACTTCTCCACTGCCACATAACTCACTTCTCTGGGTAGTAACTTTCTCTGGGTAGTAACTTTCGGCTGAGATATGCGACAGGGTGCTCTCCTCCATCTTCCCCGACTGGCTCAGCACAGCCCCCAGTCCATACATGGAAGCATCTGTATGGACGAGAAAGCGCTTGTTAGGAACTGGGGCAGCCAAGACAGGGGCATTCACAAGAGCCTGTTTTAGTGCTTGGAACTCAGCTTCACAAGCTGGAGACCACAGGACCTGCTTAGGCAAGTTCTTCTTTGTCAGGTCGGTCAGGGGCTTAGCAATAGTGCTGTAGTCAGGGACAAAATGTCGGTAATACCCTGCCGTCCCCAAGAAGGCTGTGGCAAACCCTGTCACTAAGATACTAACTTTTCTTTGCGAATGAACGCTGGAGTTATAATAGTCGTATGTGTGCAAAGGCAGAGACTCGGTGCACGAACGGACTGTACTATCATCCATGTGAATGCTCTGAAACTACCGAACGAGGGATCACCCCGGTGTGGTCGTGTGCCTCCTATTAACAAAAGCAACAATGTTGCGAAGTGTGTTAAGTGCGAGTGCGTGTGTCGCCGCCATTTCACCTACCGAACACGTGGCGGCGGCCATCTTACGCACGAACAGCGGTACTTGGTCGTCGAACGCCTGGAACTCAAAGTACCGCTAAGACCTCCAGCACGCTCAAAAGGCATGAATCAACTACACGAACACCTCAGCATTCGATATGTGGAATCCCACGAACGAAGGGATTCATTCAAACGTTAAAGGAAGCCTGGATGCCATAGACTTTTGGGACTTTTGATTCACCAGAAGAGACCGACCGCAGGGCCAGATTTCATGGAACTGTTTTCGGCTATTGTGCCCGTGCGGTCGGTCAAATCTTTCACCTGCTGTAACTCCCGAACCCCTGGTCCGATCTGGGTGAATTTTGAGTATGTTGCTCACCCAGATCGGGGCTACCAGGGGACCCCTTATTCAACCCTGTACCTGTATTTAGGGGACATCCACAAACTGTGGAAAACTGTGTCCATATTAATCTTGTTAATTGTTAATTTAAGGGGAGGAGAGGTAGGGGAGGTGACCACTGTGGGATTGGTTACTGTAGTAATTGTGAAAGTTACCTCCCTTGCATGGGAAAAATGCATAAAAGCAGACCTGTGAATAAAGACATCAGTTGACTCCCAGACTATGTGTCGTCTAGTCTTTGGGGAGGTGGATTATGCTATGTTCCTGTGATTTTGTATGCTGAATCTTTGTTCCCAGCGGAGAGCTATTGGATTAACCCCTGCTACTCCGCTACAATTGGTGGCAAGCGACGGGATTCAAACCTCACAGCAGACCGTTGTTCGGCAGATAGAGCCATTTGTGGAAATCTTTATTCGTATGGAACCGAAGGGAGAGGGTATGTGAATATACCCGAACAGATAGTGAATGGGGACAGATTATACACGCTTGAAACGGGCCACACTAAAAGAACTATTGGAAGCAAGGGGAATTATTGCCAGCAATAAAGCCAGAGCCATCCTTATTGCCGAACTCATGGAGGGAGACAGGGCAGCTGCTGCAGCACCTCTTATGGAGATCGCACAGACGGAGTTGGAAAAAGAGAACTCAAAAGCAGGCTGGCATTTTTCCCAGGAACACCTCCCATAGAAACAGTGGAAAGAATCATGGCAGATGTCCATGAATATGTGATGGCAAAGCAGCAAGCAGACCGGAGGTCCAGAGAGGGGTCCTACTTGAAAACTGCGGTCCCTATCGTACCACCTGTGCTGTCGTCGTTGGGCCGCCTGGAGATTGGACCGTACCCATCTGGATTAAGGTCTCCAAGCGTTCCCTGAACTCTAGCACATATGGGACTATAGGGGTACCATTACTGGTGACTGTTCCCTCCCAGTGTTCCCTAATGAGGTCCAAAGGACCCCGTTCTCTCCTTCCGAATAGTAATTCGAATGGAGAGAACCCTGTGGACTCCTGAGGTATCTCTCTGTTGGCGAAGAGCAGATGGGGAAGAAACCTTTCCCAGTCCTTCTGGGGATCCATGAACGTACGGAGCATTTGTTTTAATGTTCCATTAAAGCGTTCACAGAGCCCATTGGACTGGGGGTGGTACGCTGAATTTACGATAGGTTTCACCCCACATGTTCTCCACAACTGGTGGGTAACTTCTGCTGTGAATTGGGTACCCCGATCCGAGATAATCTCCTTGGGGAACCCCATTCGGGAGAATATTCGGATCAGGGCGTCCACTATGGTCTCAGCATGGATATTAGTTAGGGCCACTGCCTTGGGATACCGGGTAGCGTAGTCTACCACAGTTAAAATATACTTTTTCCCTAAAGGGCTGGGTTTCGCTAGGGGTCCGATTATATCGACCGCCACCCTACTGAAGGGCTCATCTATTATGGGAAGGGAGTGCATTTTTGCCTTGTAACGGTCCCCTCTCTTTCCTACTCTCTGACACGTATCGCAATACTGACGGATATCTTTGGAGACCCCTGGCCAAAAGAAGTTTTGGGTCAGACAATGCTTCGTCCTACTGACGCATAGATGTCCTGATAAAGGGATATCGTGTGCAATACGTAATAACTCCTGCCTGTACTTTTTAGGAACAACGAACTGCGTGGTGGTCATGGGTACTGATCCTGCTACCACCTTCTCTGCGTACCTATACAGTAATCCTTTCTCCCAAGCGTATCTCTCCCCCTCCAACCCCGCCTGATTCTGTGTAACTCTATCCCGGTATACTTGTAAGGACGTGTCGGTGGCTACCTCAGTACCAAATTCTAAGGGGGAGCCCATGGGACGAAAGGGGTTGTGGGGCTGTTGCTTACCTGAGCCTCAGAGTGTTCGGAGGTTGCAGTGGTGCGAGCCTGCTGCCGGGTTACAACGGGTAGTGCTTCCTGCGCTGGGTGTTGAGAAACAAAAGCGGAGGTCAGCTCCCCCAAGTCGTTACCCAAGATGACATCGGCTGGTAAATCCTGCATGAGGCCCACTTCCACGTTCCCTGACCCCGCTCCCCAATCCAAATGTACCCGGGCGGTAGGGATTTTGTAAATGGCTCCCCCTGCCACCCGGACTGCCACGTATTCTCCAGTGAGCTGGTTCTTGGGGACCAAGTGGTTACGAACCAAAGTTATGGTGGCCCCAGAATTGACCGGAGGTCCAGAGAGGGGTCCCCAACCCCACCACGCATAGCTCCAGAGAAGCCTTAAATTCCTTACCACGCTTTTAAAAATTATGTGGAAACAGAGGACATCGATGGCTACTTGCATGACTTCGAGAGGTTATGCCAATTGCATGATATTAGCGCTACTGACCAAGTACCCCTGCTGGTGGGCAAACTAGCGGGCCGCGCAGCAGAAGCCTACCGCACAATGCCAGACGAGGACAGCAGGGACTACCAGAAAGTGAAGCAGGCCATTCTAACTTGGTATGCCATCACCCCAGAGGCCTACTGGCAGCGGTTCAGAGAAAGCCGAAAAACAGATAGAGACTCCCACATGGAGTGGGCACACCGCTTAACTAGGGCCGGCAAGGGGTGGGTGCAAGTGGCACAAGCAACGACAGTGGAGGATATGCTGCAATTGCTTTTACTAGAACAATTTTTCCAGGGGACTTACAAAACTGGCTGAGAGATCGTTGCGAAGTGTGTTAAGTGCGAGTGCGTGTGTCGCCGCCATTTCGCCTACCGAACACGTGGCGGCGGCCATCTTACGCACGAACAGCGGTACTTGGTCGTCGAACGCCTGGAACTCAAACCGGGCGTTCGACTAACCAAGTACCGCTAAGACCTCCAGCACGCTCAAAAGGCATGAATCAACTACACGAACACCTTAGCATTCAGTATGTGGAATCCCACGAACGAGGGGATTCATTCGAACGGTAAAGGAAGCCTAGATGCCATAGACTTTCGGGACTTTTGATTCACCAGAAGAGACCGACCGCAGGGCCAGAATTCATGGAACTGTTTTCGGCTATTGTGCCCGTGCGGTCGGTCAAATCTTTCACCTGCTGTTACTCCCGAACCCCTGGTCCAATCTGGGTGAATTTTGAGTATGTTGCTCACCCAGATCAGGGCTACCAGGGGACCCCTTATTCAACCCTGTACCCCTGTATTTAGGGGACATCCACAAACTGGGGGAAACTGTGTGCATATTAATCTTGTTAATTGTTAATCTAAGGGGAGGAGAGGTAGGGTAGGTGACCACTGTGGGATTGGTTACTGTAGAAATTGTGAATGTTACCTCCCTTGCATGGGAAAAATGCATAAAAGCAGACCTGTGAATAAAGACATCAGTTGACTCCCAGACTATGTGTCGTCTAGTCCTTGGGGAGGTGGATTATGCTATGTTCCTGTGATTTTGTATGCTGAATCTTTGTTCCCAGCGGAGAGCTATTGGATTAACCCCTGCTACTCCGCTACAAAGGCCAATACCAGGGTCTTAGTGGTAGGTGTGGGCCAGTTAGCCACTGCCTCTACCTTGGCTGGCTCTGGTCTCTGGCTCCCACACCCCACTCTGTGACCCGGGTACAGGGCCGGACTGGGGATACGAAGCAGCCCTGGAAAAAAATCTATGCCAACCCCATAAGTCATTGTGCTATGTAGGGTGTATATATATAGGCAATTGAAATAGTTGGCTGCAGTCTCGGATTTCCTGAAAATTTAACTTTTATTGAAATATTTAAGAGAAGATCAATGTTTCAGTCCCTCTTGTGGACTTTCGTCATGATCCTGATGCAAGTCCACAAGAGGGACTGAAACGCTGATCTTCTCTTAAATATTTCAATAAAAGTAAAATTTTAAGGAAATCTAAGAGTGCAGTCAACTATTTCAATTTCCTATATATATATATACACTGGATACTGGAGCCCTGGTGATGCAACATTATTGTAACAGCACCGTTTCAGCACACAAGGGGTTAAAACCGTTTAGGCGATCGTCCCCTTCCAGAGATGCAGGCACAGCTACTGCAGAACACCAATCCGCCGAACAGGAAACCATACGAATGCTGTAAACAGCCGAATAGGAAAAACCATACGAATAGGTTTACACTCCTAGCAGTCGAACTGGAACAGCATACAATAAATCCCCCCAAGAACGAGACAAAGCTCTGTGTTGAGGGTCAAGCAGTGAACAGGCAGAGCTGTGGGTTTATGGTGCTTATGTACACATTCTTACACATTAGTACCACCCACAGGGTTTTGGAATACAACCAATGAACACATACAATACACTCAGACACTCCCACACAAATTCCTCCCCTCTGCCGGTGATTCAATTACCTTACACAATGGGTAATGTAATTTAGCACAAGCAGAGAAATACAATTTTTCCACATTATTCATAACTTGAAAAGTATGCATCACTTTCACATAAAACATTTTCAGAATCAGCATACTCCAAATACAAACATACGTCAAAATCATACAAATTGGTCCAGTGGTTCAAAAGATACATCGTAGTCCTTTGTGACCACAGGAAGCATGGCTTTTCTGCCCAAAACCAGTTCCACAGAGTCTTCTATCCTGGAGATAATTGGGAAGTAATCCAATTATCTCCAAGGACAGAGGCAAAACCCCACTGAACACATGGCAGCAAAAAGACAGTAAAATACAATAAAATACACAAGGTTACATTTATGACATAAAATACAGACATGCAACATATGCCCAGATAGCATAGGTCTGAGCGCACATTATTATTGAATGGCGCTCAGAGCACACACATACAGTTCAATTGCCATGGAGCCAAAGTCTTTCCCATAGTCTTTCATTATACGAATGGGCTCCATGGCATAGCTATCTGGGGTATCACTGCTCAAACAGGGCAAGCACCAAATGACCCAGCTTTCTTGTCTTTGCAGGGGAAAATCAAGCCTTTTAACATGGGGCCATAATCCAAAGGCAACAGGTGAGCAACCAGGCTTCTCCAATGCAATGTGGCGAGATTGCTCTCGTCACATCTCTCCCCTTTTCCAAACAGACTAACAGGGTATCTGACCTCCTGCTGGTCAGTGCCCTTGTTAGTCCAGCAGCCCACCCACAAAACAGAATCAACAGCACAGCCCACCCACAATAAATGGTTACTACACCTGGGTAGAGGAGAAGCTTGTCCACGTCCAGGTGTCTCACCACGGCTGTGCTGGGTACGGTTATGCTGACTTGGTGGGTTGCTGCGTGGGCAGAGACCAGCGGTACTCTGCCCTGTTGCCAGCGCTACTGGGAGGGTAGCCTGATTGAAGCCTGGTTGTTGGAGGGGGAGACCGACTGTCTCCCCTTTAGATACACAGCCCTGTTGCTGGAGACCGACTGTCTCCCCTTTAGACACACAGCTCTGCTGCTGGAGACAGACTGTCTCTCCTTTGGACACACAGCTCTGCTGCTGGAGACCGACTGTCTCCTCTTTGGCTAAACAGCCCTGTCGCTGGGGGGCAGAACTGAACGTCCCTACCCCCTGTGCTGGACGTGCAGAGACCACAGTCCCATCTGCACAGTTGTGGGGCTTACTGTCTCCCCCTGGTAACCTAGCCTTAGGGTAGTCCCCCCGCTTCCCTACCCGTTGACATGTGTCGCACGTACTACAATACATCCGCACAGCCTGATTAAAGTTGGGCCAAAATAAATTCTGCGTGATCTTATAGCCCTAATGTCCAGCTAACAGAACATCCTGCCATATCCGCAGAATCTCCTGCCGGTATTTTGCAGGTACCACTAGCTGGCGATTCAGCGGAGGGGCAACACTCTTCTGAGAAGGCTTAGGGATCCTATAGAGCCTGTCCCCCACCCACTCATACCGCTCTCCATCTACTCCTTCCTCTCCAGCATCTGCTCTATCCCGGTACTTCTGGAGAGTCGGGTCTGCCCGGGTTTCCCTCCCAAACTCCTCTGGGGAATCCCAGCTTAAAAGAGCCTGATCTAGGGTACCAGTCGGGGAAGAGGGTCTTACCTGGGTCTCATCAGCAGGCGAGCCGGTTCCAGTAGCACAGGTCTGAGCACGAGTAGTCACAGGGTTAACGTCAGCGGGGCCCATTGGGGCATAAGCAGAGACCAAGGGGGCCAAATCATTCCCAAGAAGGACATCAGAAGAAAGTCCTTCATAACCCCCACATCCACGTGTCTAGCGCACACTCCCCAATCCAAATGGACCCAGGCAACAGGTAGACGGAACACGGCGCCTCCTGCTAACCTCACCGCCACAGTGTCTCCAGTATGTTGGTGTTCTGAGACCAAGTTCTTTTGGAGCAGTGTCATAGTGGCTCCTGTGTCTCTCAATCCGTTCACCACTCTGCCATTTAGCTTAACAGTCTGCCGGTGTTGCTGACGGTTGTCCTGATGGGCTGCCTCGTATAGTATGCCCCAGAATTCCTCCTGCTCTATACAGTGAGCAGCAGGCTGAGGTGGACGTGGATTCCCGCCGGCTGGTCTTCTCCATGATTGTGCTTGATTGGCTCCGTTCAGTGGGCACTCTGGTCGCTTGTGCCCCAACTGTTTACACCCAAAGCACCTAATGGGTTGAGAATAATCCTGGGCGTTGAACCGGGATGGCTGGGTATAATTGTTAGCCGGCGGTAGTGTTGGAGTGCGGTGTGCTGGAGGTGCTGCTGGTCTGTACTCCGTTCTGGCAGGAACTTTGGGAACTGCACTGTCCAGTCTACGTGCGTCTGTGTACTCAACTGCCAGATGAGCAGCTTCGGGCAAAGTGGAAGGTTTTCGATCCCTGACCCACTCTCTGACTCCGGTGGGTAATCTATCAAAACAGTGTTCCAGCAGAAACACTTGCAGCACCTCTTCCCCAGTTACCGCTTGGCACCCCGCCATCCAGTGGGCTGCTGTATGGTGGACTTTGCATGCCCATTTTACATAGGAGTCGCCAGCATGTTTATTAGTCTCCCTAAATCACGTCTGTACACTTCTGGGGTCACTGCGTATCTGGCCAAAAGAGCATCTTTCACTGCTTGGTAGCTGGTGATCTCCTCCTCTGGAATGGCCCGGAACGCTTCACTGGCCCAGCCGGATAACTTTCCAAAGATGATGGTGACCCATTCGTCTGCGGGTACCTGGTGTAGGGCACACTGCCTTTCAAAGTCAGCAAGGAACCCGTCAATCTCTCCGTCTGTCTCAATAAAAATGTTAAATGCAGCAAAGGGTACCTTTCTCTTTCCAATATTATTATTGGGTACCTCTGCTGCTGCAGCTCCTCTTACCTGGAGCGCTTGGTGTGCCATCACTGCTGCCTGCACACGTTCCACAATGTCTGCTGAAGGGTTGGGGCCAAAGTGTGCCAGCCTTATCTGGACTGCCCGGTTGAATTGTATTTCCTCTGGGGTTAAATCCAGAATGCTGGGCACATTAGCTCTCTCCATTCCTTGTGCTGCATCCATTTCAAGTAGCAAAGCAATAATCTCTTGTTTCTTTAGATTACTTGCTGACCGTCCTCGGTGTTCTAGTATGTCTTTAAGGGTAGCACGCCTTATTTCCTCATACTGCATTTCCTCCACCAAACTGGGATGTGTAGCTGACCTTCTGTGCTGTGGGATTCATCCCGTCGCTTGCCACCAATTGTTAAGACACGCCTGGTGTCTTTAAGGGAAACCGCCGCTTAGTTAACCTTCCCCTTTCGCAATATTAATAACTCAGTTCGCATAGACTGCGGTATATGAACCACTATCAGGGAAAGCGGTAATCTCCTGAACGCGATCCGTAAGAGGCTCCGAACTCCCGAACAGAAATCCACGAATTGCCGCTAGCCGCCGAACAAGTATATCCACCAAGCGGCTTTCGGCTCCAGCAATCAGTCTCTAGTCGTCGGTAATAAATCCCCCCAATAACGAGACCAAGCTCCACATTGTAGGTCAAACAGGATCTGGCTTTACTGTGAGCTACCTGCCCGTATTTTTGCAGGTCTCCCACTTGGTGGACACTCCCCTAGGGGACCAAATGGGAGACTGTAATGACAGATGGACATGGGGATGGACATGGGGACATTTCAGACATACAGATACAAACATTTCCCACAATGCAGTATTCGTGGTATTCGCAGTAACACAGTATCATTATACAGAGCAGTAATATAGTATCATTATACAGAGCTAGTAATACAGTATCATTACTCAGAGCTAGTAACACGGTATCATTATACAGAGTTAGTAACTGTGACAGATTCATCTGTATTGCTGGTTCGTCTGTTTCCCTTTGTTCGCTGGATTCCCTGTTCGTATACCCCCGTTCGTGTAATTTGCAAACTACCGATTGAAACTACCGAACGAACGACCACCCAGGAGAGGAGTGTGCTGCTGGTTAACCTCTTGGCCCCAGACACCTCTCCATTCCATTCGTACGGGTGGTCGTCGTTCGCATGTCGACCACGAGGCAGCGGCCATTTTGGGACACACGAACGCATAGCGGTGTTCGGTACAAACTGTATGGAACTAAAAACGGACACTTAAACTACCGAACACCGCTGGAAGCTGATGCCCACCTTCTATTTCGACAAGGCATGCGAACGTCGGTCGTTCGGGAGTTTTTATTGCATTCGTATGGACTTTTACCCAGACAGCCGTCCCATGGAGTCATTCGTATACCGAAGGGCTGGTGCAAGACTTTGACTCCATGGCGATTCGACTAGATACATCGGATCTGAGCGCTATTCGGTGAAAATGTGCACTCAGATCCAGGCTGTCTGGGGATGCGTTACACGAACTATATTCATTCGGTATTTCTTCAGTTGTGTATTTTAATGTATTTTTATTACTGTAATTTAAAATGGCGATGGTCTCTACCTTGGGAGATAATTAGGTTTCTTCCTAATTATATCCGGGGTAAAGAAGACGGATTTATGGGTAAGATGGGAAGGGCTTATATTGAAGCCACTGCGATTGGCTACTGTCCAATATGTTTTACAGTCTTCCACAAGGTCCCCTCGGGGAGTGTCCACCTTGTGGGGACCTGCATAAATACCGGGCAGGTAGCCCCCATTAAACAGAGCTTTATTTGACCCTCAAGACGGAGCTTAGTCTCGTTTGTGGGGGAATTATTACTGGGACAGCGCTTTCGTTATTTTTAGCTGTGGAAGGCGTTCGACTGTTTGCTGATCGGGAGTTGCCGTGTTCGTGGACTTCGTTCGGGAGTTTGGCGGTTGGCTGAATTTAAACTGCATTTCTGGAGAAGGGGATTATTTACTAAACGGCGGCTTCATCTACCTGGCGGTTCGTGTCTTAACAGTAACACAGAGTCATTATACAGAGCTAGTAACACAGTATCATTATACAGACCAGTAACACAGTATCATTATACAGAGCAAGTAACACAGTATTATTATACAGAGCAGTAACACAGTATTATTATACAGAGCAAGTAACATAGTATCATTATACAGAGCATGTAACACAGTATCATTATACAGAGCAGTAACACAGTATCATTATACAGAGTATGTAACACAATATCATTATAAAGAGCAGTAACATAGTATCATTATACAGAGCTAGTAACACAGTATCATTATACAGAGCAGTAACACAGTATCATTATACAGAGTATGTAACATGGTATCATTATACAGAGCAGTAACACAGTATAATTATACAGAGCAGTAACATATTAACATTATACAGAGCTAGTAACATGGTATCATTATACAGAGCAGTAACACAGTATCATTATACAGAGCAGTAACACAGTATCATTATACAGAGTATGTAACACAGTATCATTATACAGAGTAGTAACATAGTATAATTATACAGAGCAGTAACATAGTAACATTATACAGAGCAGTAACACAGTATCATTATACAGAGCAGTAACATAGTATCATTATACAGAGTATGTAACACAGTATCATTATACAGAGCAGTAACACAGTATCATTATACAGAGTAGTAACATAGTATCATTATACAGAGCAGTAACATAGTAACATTATACAGAGCAGTAACACAGTATCATTATACAGAGTAGTAACATAGTATCATTATACAGAGCAGTAATATAGTAACATTATACAGAGCAGTAACACAGTATCATTATACAGAGCAGTAACATAGTAACATTATACAGAGCTAGTAACACAGTATCATTATACAGAGCAGTAACACAGTATCATTATACAGAGCAGTAACATAGTATCATTATACAGAGCAGTAACACAGTATCATTATACAGAGCAGTAACATAGTAACATTATACAGAGTAGTAACACAGTATCATTATACAGACCAGTAACACAGTATCATTATACAGAGCTAGTAACACAGTATCATTATACAGAGCAGTAACATAGTAACATTATACAGAGCAGTAACATAGTAACATTATACAGAGTAGTAACACAGTATCATTATACAGACCAGTAACACAGTATCATTATGCAGAGCTAGTAACATTATACAGAGTAGTAACATAGTATCATTATACCGAGCAGTAACATAGTAACATTATACAGAGCAGTAACATAGTATCATTATACAGAGTAGTAACACAGTATCATTATACAGAGCAGTAACACAGTATCATTATACAGAGTAGTAACACAGTATCATTATACAGACCAGTAACACAGTATCATTATACAGACCAGTAACACAGTATCATTATGCAGAGCTAGTAACATTATACAGAGTAGTAACATAGTATCATTATACCGAGCAGTAACATAGTAACATTATACCGAGCAGTAATATAGTAACATTATACAGAGCAGTAACATAGTATCATTATACAGAGCAGTAACATAGTAACATTATACAGAGCAGTAACATAGTATTAACTTTTGGAACAACGACATAAACTAATGGGTTTCAAGGTAGAACTTAAGAGATTTTATTCTTTTTTTAACTGAGAATACCATGTAAATAAATTAAATTTAACTATTCAAAGAAAGTATAAAATAGAAGGAAACCATGGATTGCATCTTGTATTCTATGCTTTGACATATTACATGTTACATATCACATTATATTATGTGGTGACACAGCTTGAAAAGTGCTCTTTAAGTGTAACAGACTATGATTGAGAACAGCTTGGGATCTGCTGGTTCATTAGAGATAGTGAGCTGCATTGCATTGAACAACATCAGGTGTTGAAACACACAAAGTCCAAGCATTATCAGTACAGATAGATACAAGTCCCTTATCAGGAGCAGAAAGTATCCAGAGATACATAGTACCATTAGACAGTGCAGTATGACGTTATGTTGATACTCCCAGTAAGTAGATTATCTGGCACTGTGGCGGTACATAGTTACTCTTCACAACTGTACAGTGCAGCACGCTCTTTATCTGGGGATAAAATGCTATATAACGCCACTGCGCAGTGCACCGGATTAATGACTTGTGATTTGCTGAAAACCAAGTTACAAGATTTGGGAGGGAAAAATCCAGGATTGACATTTGTTTCCTAATCACCAATTCTGGTGTTAATTTTGGAACCTGTCATCCTACCATAACTCCTTTAAAGGGTTACACACAGACACTCTTTTTGAAGTGGTCATGGTGCTCAGAGACTGTATGTGTAGTGTTTACATAGACATTCTACATTGTTGCTTGAGGTGTAACTCCGCCTCATGCATCGACATTGTATGTCATCAACCAGCTGGGACAAGAGCTCTGAGCTGGTTAATGTGAATTCTGTGCATATTTCTATACAAAGAATGATCAGCTGACACTCTCAGCCAATGAATGGCCAGCAGGATTGCCATCTGGTTTCTGTAGTTCTGCAGACGGTAAGGAGGCTCAGCATGAGGATAAACCGGTTTGCGCTATTATCAGGGAATAGAGCCAAGGTACTGACATCATAATACGGTTATCAATTCCATGAATAAACATTAATATCATATTTCTTGGAACACCAAAAGCAGCATTCCTAAAAATGGATAATCATCGACTCTACAATTTCAGTCCTGATAAAAAATGTAACCAGTCGCTTCACTGGCTCATTCTCTAACATGGTAATTGTTGGCAATTCAAAATTTTAGCCAAAATAACCAGATTTGTACAAATTTGTCATAAGTAATGTTTTCATTTCTGCTATTTGGAATAAAATCTGGTTAGTTCATAGAGCGAATATCTGGCAAAATTTAGGCTAAATTAGTCAAACTGTGCTTATAGTTTGAGAATTTTTCCAAATCAGCTATTTTAGCCTAAATGTTACCATCTGGATATCCATTCATTAGAGTTTAGTGAATAACTGTGTTTTGAAGTCACCGTGATTTGGACAGAAACACTATAATAATATTAACCTGTATGTTTCTGCTTTTAATTAAAACTCACTGCAAACCAAATACAAAATGGGAAAACAAGGCTTTTATTTATCTTTTTCCAAGCACTGAATTGGAGTCCTCTAAGCTGCTAACTCCGCCTCCGGCGATGTCACGCCAATTCTCAGTTTTTAGCCAATCCAATGCTCCTCATAGAGGCGTATTGGGGGCGCAATGCTTTACATTGAGGTGTTAAACTGAAAGGACCATTTCAATGAGATGAAGCCTTGATCTCTGACTGACTGCTACCAGAATATGAATTACGACATTTTATACAGATTCCATCTTACCTGTGCTCTAGAACAGAGGTTCCCAACCCAGTCCTTAAGTACCCTGTAACAGGCCAGGATTTAGGGATTACACAGTTGTGTCTAAGGTGTTTTTAGAAAAAAACTAAATAAAATAAAAAAACACTTTAGACACAACATGGTAATCTCTAATTCCTGGACTGTTAGGGGGTACTTGAGGACTGGCTTGTGAACCCCTAGAATATAATAACAAACCAGGTATTAATTAATATATTACAAACTTACTGAATCCTCCAGTTATTATAAAGAAGGTGTACTTGGCACTATACAGCATGTATATAGTGTATATATTCTTTATACAAAGCATACTGCAGTGTACTCATTAGTGAATATACTGTTATTGTGAGATCATAATCTGGATTTATCAATTGCTCACTATACAGGTGACAATACAGAATGCAGTAGTACTGAGTATCCATGTATACTGTATTTATAGCTCTAACAGGTGTACTTGGCACTTTACTGGTTGCATTGCAGCAGAGGGCGTGTACACAGTGCTAGCAGTGATGCAGTCGTTATAGTAGAGTTTAATATACAGGAAATCCTTGCATCACTAACCCAAAGAGCTTACAATCTAAGCCTATATAACTCAGTAAAGAAAGGCTGCTGCTGCTATTATGCATGGCCCTTTCCATGCAGGTGGTCTGCCTAATTTAACAGCACCCCCATACAAACCTATATTCACTCTCAGGGGAACATCTCCAAATTCTGCTGTCTTGGTGCTGCTATAATTAGTCAGAAAGCTGAGCCCCCTCCCCAGTAACCTGTGTTAGACAGCTGCTACTCTACTTGTCCTGCCTCCAGACTATTGCCCCCCTCCAAGCCCACATTGAGCATCCAATCCGGTTTGGGAGGGGATCACATTTCGGTATAACTGTCAGCCATAACCAGGCCAGTGGGTGATTGAAAAGGCTCACATCTGCGGAGACCCCCAGCACTGCTCTCTGCTCCCAAGCCCCAGGTAAGGGAAAAAGGGGGAATGGGGAAACAGGGGTCTTGAAGGATGACCCCACAAACAAGGGGGAGACACACAAAAAAGAAAGCCAGATAAATAGCCAGGACTGGGGAATTGGGGGTCTGTCCCCTATAATGTTGTATCTCTGTCTCTCTCTTGTCACTTTAACAGTTTAGTGAATGAGCCCCATGGTGATTTGCTGAAAGCTATAATCTGCAGAGCATTGTCACCTACATGAAACAATGTGACAATCCCATTGATCCCCTACAGAGAGAGAGAGAGGAGAGCTGTGACCCCTGTATCCCCTGTCTATTAGTTGGAATCCCCTGGCACACACAGCTGCTGATTGCAGGGATTCAGTGTAACTGTGAGAATGGCAACCATGCCAATGGACTCACATCAGGCATCTGACACATGTCTGGGGGCTTCATTCCCAGTCAGCACATATCTGTTTAATGAGTTTGGCTTCAGCTGTCCATACTGTACATAGAATGTCTGTGAAGGTTAAACCCACATTTCCAAGTTTGTTTGTAAGTCATCTCTACCATCTCCTGTCAGTTAAATTCCTCCAATAACCCTGAATTGAGAGAAAGCATGCTTCATGTAGGTTAATAATGCATGAGATTTTAGTCTTTTATTGATTGCTTTTGGGATCTATGTCATATATAGAATTGGAAGAACTGATCCAATGCTCATAGTGTGTAATATATCTGGTACAGTGTGGGCTGGACACTGGATTTGCTTAGAATACATTTTGGAAAGTACCATGACAATCCAAGCTACATGTACCATTGCATCCCACTCCCTGCCCTTTGTGAAGGGGACACAATGCTGCTTTGATTTGTACCCAAGGCTTCCTTTAACAGCATCCCAAATAACTGAACTCACTTTAACTATTGTCTGATATCTGTATGTTCTGATCACTATATTGAAAATAATGGGGGTCTCTTCACTAAATCTCCCAGGAGTTGTAACATTTTATCCAAAATGCAGTTGGTTTGGTTTTGGTAGTTTTATTCCTAACTCACAGGTGTTTGAATTTACCCTATTTCAGCTACGTGGGTGCAATGCATGTACATTATTACAATGCAAAGCCTTTGCCTCGGTCATGGCACTTAAGGGGTTAAACGTTTGATTGTCAGTTATCATGCACTGTGAAGCCATTTCTAGGGATGGGTTTCCCCCGTCACATGAAATACAGGTTATTAGCTCTACATTGCTAACGTGTTTTTTGGAAGTCAATATACCATAGCAGGACAGCTTCACATCCAGTCTCCGTTATATTCCATGAGAAATATCCTTGTGTTATAAATGTAAAGTGCTGCGGAATATGTTGGTGCTATGTAAATGCAGATAATAATAATGGTGTGTCTATTGCTCTAACATGTGAGGAAGGGCCCCAGAGGATAGGGTACAGATACTAGATTAACCGTATATATCAGATTAGCAGATTTATGGCATGTAAAATAAGCTTTAAATCTAGGGTCCAATTATCTGTCTCTTTGAATATTCTAAGGACAAAGCAACTGTATTTACACCCCTCGCCCCAAATCCACGAGTTTGGGGGGTGAGGGCTTACTTTCCCCACAGGTCCCACATATTGGAGATGTTCAGTTGAGTAGAGAAGAGATTTTGTGGATGCTACCAGCTGTTAATTTTGGTAGAGGTGGGGGAGAGGGAAGACATGTCTAATTAAGAAGTCTGTAAATAGGATACAAAATTCCTAATTAAAGTTCATAGTCTTCTGCAGAATGGGTTTTGTGGCCTTTCACCCCTCCCCCAATGACCTAACAAGATAGGCCAACTGGTGGCATCTAACAGTAAGGGTGTTATTAAATAGATCTATCCAACAATGATGGGGATCTCCAGCACTTATCAAACCCAGACTCTACATTGAATAGATAAGACCATGACCCAATACAGGGACAAAGCAATGACATCCCAAACCATGATATAAACCTCCCACATCCCAGGTTCCCATCACCTTTAAAGGACATTCCCAGGTGTCCTAAAATAGAAAAGAATGCCCAGTTGTCCCCTCTGTGGTACCACCCATACCCCCCTTCAGCATCTCATATGACATCTGAGTCACACAGGCAGCAGTTTTGGGCTCCTAAAGTCTTCCTTACAGGGAGGGGAACCTAAATTAAGCTTTGAGAGTACGCTGTACCCCTCTTCCATCTGCTTCAGTCTGTATTACAGCAAATGCAAAAAAAAAAACCCATCAAAAGTATTTAAAATAGCATTCATCAAAACTGTTATATATTTACCAGCTGAAATGATTGGATTCAGTTTTATATACAAAGATTATTTTTACAATAGTTTTGAAATAAAATAAGATTTATTTGTGGTGAATGTCCAATTCATATCTCTCCAGCCCAATTCATCCTTCATCTTCTTTTACTAGTAGGCAGTCACAATATAAACAAACTTAATTCCATTAATAAAATAGGAAACCCTTAATAAGAAATGAGATCAAAATAAAAGAAATCGATTGTAGATGGAAATTTATATTTTTGAGTGAAATGAATCGAGATGTGTGTATATACTCTAAAAAGAATGGCAGCAATACATTAAAAGCAGTTATTTCCCATAACAGATTCCTCGTTTATTTAAAGTGCGACTCTAGGAATCTCTCTATGTTGGTGAACGTGTAGGTTGGCATACAGCGGGTATAGTGGGTCAGGGCCTTATTCAAATAATAATTCGTTTTACTCCACAATCACTTCTTTCTTTCAACTCAGTTGCCCTTTTTTCTCCCAAAATACTGCTGCACACAATGTGCTGACTTGGATTTCTGGGAGTTGTAGTTATTGTATAGTAGAAACGCTTGCAGTCAATGCTTATGGTATGATGGCAGGAGGTTAGAAAATGTTAAATGTTTTATGATTGGCACTTAATGTTTGATTATATAAACCACATGTTAGAGCATTAAACATTAGATATGATATGAAGCATGGTCACTTCAAATGTATCTCTGAGTTATTCTATATGTACCATTCTGTATGTAAATTACTTGCTGCCAGTTATCCCCATTCTAGAATTGTACAGCGCTGTAGAATATGTTGGTGCTATATAAATAATTATTATTTTTATCTCTCTATCTCCTGATGATTTATGATTTATTCATTCTGCTGTTTATAAACATATATTTTCCTTTGTGTTTTTTTTTTTTTTTTTTCAGCAGACCAAAAGCCATCATGTCCGACACAGAGGAAGTGTAAGTTCTGAAACCAAAATATTATCTGAGACTGTGTAAACGTTGCCCAAAATAAAACACAACAGCAGCTGTGCATTGAGTATTTAGAATGTCACAGGAATTCCCAATGTCATTTAGAATAATTTCTGGGGTGAGATACTGTTACAATAAAAATCTACTTCCCTAAAATTGCTCCCATATACATTGAATAAATCGTAGATTACATGAGACCTGGTGTATTGGATGTAACATCTAGAGATGCTGATAACAGATGTATTACACAGATTAATCCATGTCAAATAATGTCATTGTGTAGGTCACGCAAAGATCTAAGGAGGAAACAAACACTATGATAAACTAAAACCACAGTTCATTTTGGATCACAATCCCTAGATCCCGGCCAGCAGCAGAAAACAGTTCTGTCAGAGTGTGACGTTTGTAAAAACGGGACTTTCAGTATCTGCTTTAATTAGAGATTTATGTGAACTGTTTGTCACAGGCAGAGACACACCGTGATCATTCAGTCACCAAACCAGGAAGTGCAAATAAATTACAATAAATTCTAACTAAACTGGAAAAACGTCTGTGCTCATTCCACTAGTTTGGCCTAAGTTTTGCAATTTCCTTATCAATTCTCCACTTTGTAGGGTTAGTGAATAGCCCCACCTATTTAGATACTGAATATTGGCGATTTCCCCCTCTCTCTTACCTGCTTTTATTTAACTTTTCTGTGACCTGACATGTTTATTCGTTATTTTCCTCTGTGTTTTCTTTCATTTCAATTTGTTTCTCTTTCTTTTATCTGCGAACCTCGATTGTTCCCAACAGTGAACAGGTGGAGGGTGAGTACACAATGCGTTTAGTGTGACTGATTAATGTGAGATTTCTCTATAACCATCACTACGTTTCAACGTTTGCTTTCATTCACCTTATTGTACTTCTCTTAATCCTTTTCTTTCTATCTTCCCATTACAAACCCTTAGATTTCTTAACCTCCTGTCTAATTCCTAAACTTTTAGGACTCTTTTCAAACTGGATTTTCTACGACATGTCTACTGCCTGAGATTATTCATTTTCAACCTACTTCTCCAATTCCTTCACCCATCCATCACATCCCTGTCTTGTTCCTTCACACAGTGAACTCTGCATGTCTAATAATTTATCAATTTCTACTTTCATTCCTTCGCTCCACAGACGGCCTGTCTGTTAACTTAACTAATGTTTTCACTCCCTGGATGATATTTAATATTTTATTCCTGTATTGTTCACTCCTCTTGTAACTTTTTTTTCAAGCAGTAATAATTTTCATTCATGCCCCGGCTCTCTATTTTGCAATCAGTGACCATGTTATCATTTACGTTTATGGCTTGATTTCGATCTAGAAATGTACTAAGGAGTTGGGGTTGTTTGTTCACATTCACAGGGTGAAGTTAATATAAAAAATGTGAATTTGGCAACTTATTATTTTAACTTAAATAGCATTAGATTCTCCTGTTATGCTGAACGCTCCTGGAGGAAGTCACACACCCAGGCAGACTTTCTCCATTATAGATTCATGTTGCGTTCATAGAGCAGAGCGCAGCCCTTGCCCTCGCCAAACAGTCATACTTTTCCTCTCTTATTAGTTCATGCTCCCGCAATCGCAGGCGTCTCTTTGACACCTTTAACTCTCTTCTCTGCCCTGCTGTTACCACCCCCCAAACTAACCTTACAGCTGATAGCTTTGCATGCTACTTTACCAACAAGATTGAACAGCTAAGGAAAGAATTCTCCCCTCCTTGCCATTCTCTTTCTCAACCACACGTAGATCATGCCTTTCCTATCCTTCAGACTTTCTCCCCAGCTACTGACCAAGAGGTGGCTGCGCTTCTCCTTTCTTCTCGCCCCACCACTTGCCTGCTCGATCCTATCCCATCTCATCTTATCAGATCTCTCTCTCCTTGTCTTGTGCCTTCCTTAACACACATCTTCAACTGCTCTCTCTCTTTTGGCACTTCTCCTGTCCGCTGCTCACACCCATATGGCCAACTCACGCTTGCAGGACTTCTTGCAGGGGCTCCCTTCCTATGGAATAGCCTGCCTAAAGCCATCAGACTCTCCCCTAGTCTTCAATCGTTTAAGAAGTGCCTTAAAACCCTTATTTTTAGGAAAGCTTATTTATTCCCAGAGTAACTTCTACCTCACATACCTGTCTCTACTCTCTCCTCTCCAGCTCTGCTTCACTCCCACCTTGTTCGATTGCTATTCCCTGTCCTGTTGTGTTTTACACCCCACCTCTTATAGACTATAGTTCCTGTAAGTTTTCTTGTAAATTGTCATATTTATAGTTAAATCCCCCCTCTCATAATGTAAAGCGCTACAGAATCTGTTGGCGCTATATATATGGCAATAATAATAATAATTAAAGGGACACCAAAGTAGCTGTATCTGCCTGTATCTCATTAAACTGGTTATAGTGTCTGGAGTTCCCTGGTACCATCATTTCCTTCAGTATTAAACAGTTTTTAATATTTTAATGCTAAACAAGAGTCCCCAGCAGTCCATTCCCTCTGTGCTGCTTTGGCTAATAAGGAAGTATTAGCCTGAGCAGCAACGGGCACCTTTGATTGGCTGAGAGTGTCAGCGGACTGCTTTTAGCCTGCCAGAGCTCCAACTGACGGTATGAGTGGGTATGACAACAAGGAAGTGTGTACATACAGAAGGGGTCGGATTGTGGGTAGCCAGGGACTCTTATTTTATGGCATTCTGCATGAACATGGTACAACACTGGATGGAGGGACAGTGCCAGGGTACTCCAAGCACTATAACAAATTCAAAGAGATGAAATGGTTACAGTGACTACAGTGTCCCTATAACATTTTATTTTTAAATTCTAGCAATGCTGACATCTATTGGCCACAGCCATACTCTCTATTTGCATCTACCCCATCAATAGTTGCATTTACCCTATCTATATTTGCATCTACCCCTATTTATATCTGCATCTACCCCCATCTATATTTGCTTTGGTCACATTTTCAGGGTTAAATTACCATTAAATTGGGTAATAGTAACAACCCCTGGATGTTGGGCTAAGGTAGCATCCCCAGGTCGTACTTGAAAACCAGAGTAATCAGAATTAAATACTTTGTTGTTATTATTATTGTATTCACTCAAAGTAGTACTTGTCAGAAATTCAATGTGAATTTCCAATTTAATTCCAAATAGCCGATCTGGAAGCAGTGCATTTTGGACTTAATTTTTAAATCCTCAAGTATTCTAACTTTATTAAAAAATACTGTTTGTTCCTAATCTCTATAATGGCAAAAGCAAAAAAATAACCATATAGTTATCACATATATTTGAATCAGGATAATGATAGTAATTTCTACACTGTAACTGTCATATCTGGAAACATAGTTAGCAGTTTCATAAAATACTGATAGATATGTAGGTTTGTCTTCAGGCTGTGCATCATGCAATGCATTGAATATGGATTAAAACCACAGCAAACTTGGACAACTGGCATGCCTTTAGGATTGTACAGGGAAACCACTTGTTCCTGTTAGTCCATACAACATACATGTATATTTCTCCTTATCATTTCGTATAGCAGATACTGGATAAAGGGGCACTATCATATTTTAGAACTGATTGATAAGTTGGGTGAACACCTTATGTCCCACTCTGCTCATCTTTTCACCCAACATTTGAATCAATCTTTTGGGATAATTGTTTTTCTTTATTTTCCTAAATTTTTTGTTTCTGTCTTTTTTCTTTTCTACCTATAAACAGAAGAATACGAAGAAGGTAAATGGGTGAAATAATTGTACCCCCCCATTAGGAACCCTTAACCCAGTAACAACTTCACTCCCTCGATGATCAATGAGTTTTCACTAATTTTATTTAACCTCTTCTCTGCCAAAAGGACCTTTAAAGTATATAAATTTAAATATACGTCACTAATGCTTCAATTGTATAAAACACACATGTATTTCTATTCCACTGTTTATATATATATATATATATATATATATATATATATATATATATAGTATTTATCTATATATCTAAGAAAATGTGTGATTAAGTGTCACATGACTATGATGGTTATCCCCTAACGTGCTCTGATGGGACAACATCCAGACTATTTATCATGTAAAAGTCCTGCAACTGCTCCATATATTTTATTTAAAACTACAAAGTAGTTCTATATGGGTCCTTTTATCAGTAAAAAGGTTAAATGACCAAATCCCTCAGTTTTCTAGTCCCTCTGGCCAAGTCTAATTGCATTTTTACTCTCAATCGTCTTAATAAAAGTTCCAGACATTCCTGGCCCATGTGCTCCATTCCTTTCTCTATATGAAGACCATATCTAGTTCAGTGCAGGATCATCTATGTATAGTATTGATGAGGTCTAGTCCTAACACGCATGTTTCCTTGTAAGTTGGACACATCTGGATGTTAAAGTTTAACGGGCGACTGATAACGTGTGGGTACCTGGAATAGTGTTCTAACAGCTGAGGCCAATGAGTATTGGCCACTATGCTTTAAATCAGTCAATGTTCCCTTTGTGCTGTGCTGTGGTGCTCTTTACTTGGCTCATTTATGTGCTGAAGGCTAATGTTTTGCTTTGTCTACTTTCTTGCTTTATCTCAAACACCCTCTTCATGACAAATTGCCTGTGCAGAAGAAGCCCCAGAAGGTATGTGTTGATTTTGCAAACTGATCCAATTATTGCAGATATTGTAGATGTGGATAGGAATGGGTATGATTTGTAAAGATTTGCTGGGGGTGTTTGGATGTCCTGTCTACATAGCAGTGTTGGTGTTCTTCTGGTGATTGATAAATCTGGAGAAAGTGGTCAGTGTCTATTACGCATGTTTCCCTCTGGGATCCACTCTATAATACATTAATGGGTTAATTACCAGAATTATTCTCTAAACAGTGAATTGCAATGTATGGACAAACCATACACAACATTTAGGCCATCATAGCAGCGTTCGGTAATGGATCAGCGTTCGGTAATGGACATGTTCTCCAATTTGGCTAGCTTGCTCCACTTCTTGCATTTTCTTGATCAAGTGGAAATAATTAATCGTTTCCCAAGTGGTCAATGGTCACAAGGAAAATGAGTCAGTTTGCACAATTGAACATTCATTGCAGTGCTAGATATGTTTTGATCTCAGCAACTAAATAATAAGTAAGACATCTCGTGTTTTTTCCAAGCTGCAAATGTTTCTTTTTCCATTTTTGCCTAAATGTTGCAAGTTGATTATTTACTGTTTCGTGAATAAACTGTCCATTCTCGTAGAGGGAAGCCCGTAATTCTCATTCAGCATCCTTGGACTCATTGATATGCATTCAGGAGGCTGTATTTGCCCAGCTTGACAAAATATGCTACAATAAACATTCAGGCTATCAAATATTTTAAAAAAATTGGACAGCCTGTAAACATTTTCATGGCAGAGAAGATGTTCCTCAATACTCCCTGATGAGTTTCCATTTGTCTGTGTCACGCTCTGCTACGAAGGAACTTCGATTTAGTGAATGGCATCATGTTTAGGTGACACTGTAGAAGCTTAAATTGCATCTTGTCTGTGTGTCATTGTGAGCAGTTCTGTGCATTGTGTTTGCTCGTTCTTGCTTGTCTAACAACTTTTCTTTTCCCCTTAATGCTTTCCTTAAACAGTGGAGGAAACCCACGAGGAAGGTATGTGATCTACTCCCCTAATATCTGGTGCTAGTGTATTTCTGACAAAATATTTGGGGCCTATTCACATAATCCTTTATTTAGAGCTGTTAGATTCAGCTCAGTTAGACTGACCTAGACTTGAGCTGAATTTTAGCCAATAGAACAAATTCAAGGCTTAGTGAATGGACTGCCCCAGCTTTGATTGGTACTGAAACGGTTATCAATACTGCAGACTTTGCCAACAGGAACACAACTTATGCGTACTTCTTGGTAAATTCAATGCAGGGTTGCTCAGCACACATTGACATGCTCCCTGACTACTTTCCTTTTTGTATGGTCCCATTTACTAGTCCTGACCATTTTGAAGTTCTGCGCTCACAAATCTCAAGAGTTCTGAGAAGAACTGACATTGTAACATTGTAAAATCCCATCTTTGTCAAACAACTGCATAGGAAACGATAAGGCTATGGATCCATGCAACAGACATGACCTCTAGTGGCCATTGTTGTGCATGCAGGGATAAAACCAAAGCAGTCATTCTTCTTGATCTTTGTAACTACAATTGGGTTTGTACACTAGGTATGCTGAGTAAACTGCCTGACATCTGCTATTGGCCTCTGGACATTCACTGACTCTGTACCTCTTGCAATGCGGTACTGCCTCAAAATGTGCAATGTAGCTTCCAAATATGCATCTTTTATCTGCCAGAAGAGAGCTGCTCTGCACTGTGCAATGTAGCTTCCAAATGTGCATCTTTTATCTGCCAGAATAGAGCTGCTCCGCACTGTGCAATGTAGCTTCCAAATACAGGTGGTCCTTGTTTTACGACGGCTCGCACTTACGACCAGCTCTCTCGCGGGGTGGTAAGTGTGCAGACACTCCTCACTTACCGACCGAGTTCTGTTCCTACCACCCGATCGTAGAACGAATTGGTCGGTAAGTGAGGAGTTAACAGATTCCCTGCTCTGCTGCGTTCTTCTTTGTTCGGGGAAATGTCCCTGAACACAGACATGCGCACCAGAGCGGGGAATCCCTTAATTTATGTTTGGGGAAATTTCCCCGAAGATAGATTAGAGCGATTCCCTGCTCTGATGCGTTTGTCTATGTTCAGGGACATTTCCCCGAACAAAGAAGAACGCAGCAGAGCAGGGAATCCGTTAACTCCTCACCGACCAATTCGTCCTACGACCGGGTCATAGGAACAGAACGTGGTCAGTAAGTGCGGAGTGTCTGTAGGCATCTTTTATCTGCCAGAACAGAGCTGCTCCGCAATGTGCTGCTCGCTGCATTTGCTATATTGTTAACTGTCTGAAAGATGTGCAAGCTGTTTGGCAATTAAAGGAGAGTTTATACACTATTAATACGGCAACAGCACATAGTTGTTTAGTTCTGTGAAGCCAGACAGGAATTTATCCAGTTCTGCTATTTTGGCCTTAAATTAGCAATTCCTTTTGTCCGTTCTCCATAAATTAGAACATCCACCTCCATCATTGTTCAAGTTGGAGACAGGATAATGAAATTCCTCTAAATGTCTCTTAATATTATTACACTGCTTTGTTGCCAATAACAACACAAAACTGCTGAAATGTTTGACACCTATCAAAATAAATGGCAATGATATGTGTTTATTGCCCCTTTTAACTTTACACTGAAACTTCATTCAAGGTATATTGGAAATATTCCTATTCAATCACTCATAAACCTTCTGTCATTTAAACCTTGCCATTCTGTGCCAATATTCCAGAACTGTCTCCAGTCTACACTATATTCCCACAATCCAGATCTCTATCCTAACAGTAGAAAGCGCAAGTTAATTTAACAAAATCATTTAAAATACTAAATAAATATTATTTTATAGCAGCTATAACCTATCACCTACCCACAAGTGTAAAAATAAAAAATAAAATACAACAAAAAAAATTATAAACCATCCCGCAAAGTTATCAGGCTAAAAATCAAGAAAAAGCCTTTTCCCAATTACTAACAAGTTAAATAATGTAAAATAACAATCAGAACAGATACATTCAATAGAACTTTCTAATGCATTCAGTTTTATTGAACACTGTCTGTTCGGTTTGTTAGACATTATTTTAGGCGTACTTTTTAAACCTTGTTTATAATTGTGACAATGGTTTTTCTTGATTTTTAAAAACCCTGATGGCTTTATCAGGTGGTTTATAATTTCTATGTGTTATTGTTCATGCACCAGGGCCTCAGTTTGGATAACTTTCTAAATGATTTCATCTTTTTTGGACACATTTTTACACTTATTTAATATTAAGAAAAATATTTTACATTTTGTATTTTTTTTTTTATATATTGATATGTATATATTTTTAAAATATGATCTATTTGTAGATATTTAAATATGACAAAAAAATAATTTTTAAAATTTATCCAAAAATCTTAAATCATTTGGAAAGCTTATCCAACAATATGGTATCGAGGTTGAGATGTCTGATGCACAAAAAGAATAGCATGAGAACCCTACGGCTGAATGCCCTGCAGCCTTCGAAGACCTGAAGTTTTTGGCTTTATGTTCAACTGTACTGTAGCATTGATTGTCTGCATCCTTTTATAATGCACCTACCACTAATGTTGCATTGGCTTTTATGTCCTACGATATCTCCTCTTCCCTTCCTGCTTTCTAATGCCGCACCCCCTTCCCCAAATCCACTGTGCCTGCTGCGTGACTGCTTGAACTGTGTCCGTCTTGGCTCTGCAATCTGCATCAGAAGAAGAGGAGTCAGCACCTGTTGAGGAAACAGCAGCACAAGAGGAGGAAAGTTATGAGGGAGCCGAGGAGGAAGGTAAGGCAAATGACTGTCCTTCCTCAGAATAATATGGTTAAGGAGTAAACGCCTTACTCCACTAGGCAAGTAGGAATTTAATGAGACCATACAGAGTGCAGGAGATCTGTCCAGGCTTGGATCTTTGTTCTAACAACGTAGGAGGTCCATTCTGGATGTCTATGTAGGCCACGGCTTACAATTCCATTTTATTTCCATAGTACAGTGGACTTTTTAGGTACATTCACATTATCACGTTGTGTGACCAAATCACTTGAACTACAGCAGGCAGATCACTGGTAGATCAGCACTGTTGCTCCTGCTGGCAGTGATACAAAGGCCCTTAAATGGATTAAAAAATGGCAAATTACGCCATCAACATAATATATGGAAGAGAGAACAATGCTTATGGCACTCCACCTGTGACCTTTTATGTAGGGCTTCTGACAGTTATAGCAGGTGGACGTTATCAAGGGTCATTTAGTTGTTAAACAGTGCTAAGCTTACTTTCCACTTGCCATGTCTCTCTCTGCCTGCTTGTATGTCAATGCGCATGACCTGCATTTACCACTATGAAGTTGAAGGACAGGATATGCAGCACTGACTTGCCAACGTTTACAGTTGAAAGCCCAGCAGTTATCTAGAGAATATGACAATGTTAATGATTTTATATATTGTGAAAAGTCAATAAACTCAATAATTACCTGTAAGAAGCTGTAAAACATTACATATCATTGCCTTCGAGATTGCAGCTTAAGGGTCAGGGTAAATGACATGGTCGGTACACCCAGTGATCGTATTACTGTATGGTAATTCTGGGAGTAATCTAAGAATTAGCATCTTAGAGGTATTTGAGCAGTTTTTGACTTTTGACTCTCTATATATATATATACACCTGAATTAAGTATATGAGAGATTCCCGAATTGTCAATGTATCATTCGAACTATGAACTGGCTGGATTCATCATAAGTTCTTCCATAAAATATGTAAATCTGAGTCCAGGCTGATAGAGAATTTCCATAAATCCTTTTTAATGGATTGAAAGTAAATAATTAAAACATTTCTGATTTAGTTTTTATTCTTTGATTGTCAAAGTGAGTGTGTCATCAAAAGACTCCAAAATGGCCTACGTGGCTTCATTAAGGTGTTTGCTGTCAGTGTCCTCACTTCTGGGATAAAAAGAGTAAAAATGTATATTGACAGCTTGATCATAAATGTTGATAAATTACAGAAATGTTGTGTATATGTAAGAATGCCTGTTAGTTGTATGATCTGATTCTATGTAGGAAATGCCTGGAATAAGATGGCAGCTGGTACAATAAACATGGTTTCTAATACAGGATAGCAGGAATGACATAATGTTTTTTTACTTGCAGAGCATGGTGACGAATACGACGGTATTTGGCTTCCACATTTTTTCTTTTGTTTTCTCTCCCTTCCCCCATTTAACTGGCAGGTTGGCCCAAATTTCTACAAGGTTTCTGGAACAGTTTATCAATTTTGTTTCTATTTCTTCTCATTTTGCACAATGCAGTCCACAAATGCTAACCAAGTGTTATTATATGGGCTGATTAGAGAAGAAATACCTTAAAAACTCAATTGAAACGTAATCATTAATTCAGTCATTATTTGCCATGAGCACAGTTACAAAGCCAAGATTGCCTGCTAGAATGACCCCTTGAAATCACATGATGAGTTTTAAAATAGCCAAAAATATTAGGGAAAGTTTTGCCACCTTAAAATATTCTGTTTGGCCTAATTGGCTGATTTTAAAGTAGTATTATCGATATCTATATTTGTTTGTTCCAGGTTCAAACACTGTGGAGTTTTGGCTCGGCCTTCAATTATTCCTATTTTTACTTTGATTTACTAAATTAATCTCCTTTTTACCTCACTTTCCAATAACGGTTGGAAAAATCAGCAGATCATTACCACATACAATGCTCTGCTTCTCTGCCAAACGCTTCTCTTTCCCATTTCATCTACACGCAGTCTCACTAATTTACATCTGAATAGTTTTTCTGTACAAACTTTTCCTCTACCTACCCATAATGTAATGCCTCACCTACCTCCTTCCTTTCACCACATGATTCACCTACCTTGATCTCAACATGTTCCATAGATCGCCTCCCCACCTCTAACACTGTATGTCTGTCTTCTTCCCACCTCTAACACTGTCTATCTCATTCCCACCTCTAACACTGTCTGTCTATCTCCTTCCCAACTCTACCACTGTCTGCCTATCTCCTTCCTAACTCTATCTCCCAACCACCTCTAAAAATGGCTATCTCCTTCCCACCTCTAACACTGTCTGTCTATCTCCTTCCCACCTCTAACACTGTCTATCTCCTTCCCACCTCTAACACTGTCTAACTCCTTCCCACCTCTAACACTGTCTGTCTATCTCCTTCCCACCTCTAACACTGTCTGTCTATCTCCTTCCCACCTCTAACACTGTCTGTCTATCTCCTTCCCACCTCTAACACTGTCTGTCTATTTTCTTACTACTTATACTTCATCTATCTGCTTCCCATCTACACAATATCCATCCTTCTTCTTCCTATTTACACAGTTGTTTGTGATCTATCTACTTCTCATCGACACAGCTTTCATTTATTTCCTTTACTTCTAACTCTACTTCCCATCCACATAGTCTTGATCTATCTCCATCCCATCCACATAGTCCATCTATCTCCATCCCATCCACATATAGTATTCATCTATCTTCATCCCATCCACATAGTCTTCAGCTATCTCCATCCCATCCACAGTCTTCAGCTATCTCCATCCCATCCACATAGTCTTCATGTATCTCCATCCCATCCACATAGTCTTCATGTATCTCCATCCCATCCACATATTATTCATCTATCTCCATCCCATCCACAGTCTTCAGCTATCTCCGTCCCATCCACATAGTCATCTTCCGCTATCTCCATGCCATCCACAGTCTTCAGCTATCTCCATCCCATCCACACAGTCTTCAGCTATCTCCATCCCATCCACACAGTCTTCAGCTATCTCCATCCCATCCACACAGTCTTCAGCTATCTCCATCCCATCCACATAGTCTTCAGCTATCTCCATCCCATCCACATAGTCTTCAGCTATCTCCATCCCATCCACACAGTCTTCAGCTATCTCCATCCCATCCACACAGTCTTCAGCTATCTCCATCCCATCCACATAGTCTTCAGCTATCTCCATCCCATCTATACAATATTCACATAACTCCTTCCCATGTGTGCATCAAGGCTGAACTTGATGGATGCATGTCTCTTTTCATCTGTGTAACTATATACAGTACTTACCTATCTCCTGTCTATCTCCTTTCCAGTTCTACACTCTTTGTATATCTCCTTCCAATCTATTTATGCTTTGACTTCTATGTGCTTCTCATCTTAACATTCTTCTTATATCTCTTCTCCATCTCCACCCGTTTCTCCTTCTTTTCTCACACTCCACCTTCTCTTGGTCATCCCAGTGTCCATCTACGTCTTTATCATCTTCACACAGTCCACCCTCTATTTTTTTTTCTTCCTATCTCCACATCCTACCAAATGAAGTGACACGTATAATGTGCAGGAAAAAAAAAGAACTTTATGTAATATTCAAAACAAAGTAAATGCCCTCTACTGGTATGTATAACCAACTTAATACCATTAATTTGAACCAAGCAATCTGCTAATATTATTCCAATAATCTTAGTATGTGCAACCCAAGAGATACTTTTATAACAGCAGCCATAATCAGTGTGCAAAAACACATTTAATCAAGTGGTGGACAATGGCACCTCTGAGGAGTGATCTTGTTGGTAATCACATTTCATTTAGATCATTCACATTCATACTCAATCTCTAAGTCTTATATTACTGACTCTTCATGCTTCCGTCTTCTGAACCATTTCACAGCCACAAATGCTTTGCTCTGCTTTCTCTAGCATAAAAAGGAACAAATGTCCTGTTTCCTTAGCCAGCTCCATTATTCAAAATTCTCTCCTTCTCTCACACATTCCATCTCCTCTCTGGATCAAGAAATAACGATTTTTCCCCCACCCATTAACAAGTTGAGATTTCTCATTTTATTGTTCGAAGTTTCTTTCCCCACTCATTAAATAACTAACCTTTCTTTTCCTGATCATCCTGGAATTTGTGTTTTCTCTCTCTCTGACAGGTCATGACTCATGTAGTGGCCATTAAATGGATTCATCGGAATAGGGGGAGGGCTTTAAAGGAATTTGGGGTATTGATTCTGATCTAAATTAGCTGTGGATGTTAACACTGTGAGAAAGCATCATGTGACAGTATCCAATAATCTAACACCATCACAGATCGTGCCAGTCCCTTATAGACAACTAGGAGTGACCCTGCTGATCTATGACACTACCTGTGATAGAAAACAATTGACACACAACATACAATAGACATTCCTTGGTGGGGAGCAGAACAAGAATGATTTGGAAGAGTCTCACAACGATGCTCTTGATTCCATGTTCCATAATATTACTATGTTCACATGTTACTGCACTTGGATTGCCCTCTGCCTGTTTCACTCCCACGTTTTGCATGTTGCACCATGTTGTGGTTTCATTCTCACTTCTGTTTCCTTATGTTTTCTCCTCTCTAAATTCTATCTACAGAAGAGAAGCCAAAACCAAAGTAAGTGCGTCTATCAATGCCATTGCTTCCTATAATAAACTCCCATATCTGTTCTAATCTCTGAAGCAGAACTATATTTACACCCTGTGCACTGCATATGTAAACCAAAAACATCTCTACATGTTCTGATAGCAATCTTTACCACTTTCCCTGTGCTCGGTCATCATTCATGTCTCTGGTCTCGAATCCTTTCACCATCACTCATTGCAACCAACACTACTGGCACTTACTTGCCAATGACGTCATTCGTATACCATTACAGTTCCTCTCCGTTATGTTCTACAGGTTGGATTGTCAAGAACTCAATGTAAAGTCACATTTTAGACCACAACTGCTGAATGGGAACATTTCTGAGTCTGTTATGTTTTTGGCCTAAAATGTGAAATTAATTTTGATTGTGAATAACCAATGCCTGTGTTCGAACGGTGGCCCACTCCTTAATGAATACTAATAGGCCAGGTTTACTGCATTTCTCAATTCTTAGTTATGGGGACACAGACAAAACCTGCTCTGTTAGTATATACTGAGGACTAGGTTGGCATCCTTAGATCAGTCCATAATCTCTAAAAACATATCCAACATTTCCTGTTTTTATACCGTGCCCATTAAACACCATTCATTACCATTATTCATTCACTATTACTATCTCATATGAGAAATATTAAATAAGTAAATGGACAGCGCATGGCTCTAGGAGTGTTTTCCTTGCGTATGCGCCACTGCAATTGTTCAGCCACTCAAACTAACAGCCTTTCTTTCCATATTACACCAATAATAGTTTTTTTCTTTTCGTACTGCAGACTCACTGCCCCTAAAATCCCAGATGGAGAAAAAGTTGACTTTGATGTGAGTTAAATCATCTAGCGGAAGCTATTCCGTATAACATGTGATAAAAGAATTGTGTTTTCTTCAGTAGGAGTTACTTGGGCATACAGGAAAACTATACCGGGATCAAGTGGTGCAGATATAACCACCAATATGTAGCGGTTTTGTCCACTATTAGTTGTGGTGCTGTCGTAACCCTCTGCAATGTCTTAGAATTTATACAAAAGTAATGGTAAAGGGTGCAGCCAGCTAGATTTTGTGATACCTTTCCCCATACAGTAATAAGTACGATTTTAATTACAAGTTACAAAAATCCAGGTTCCCCGACCACCAAATCTATAGACCATATGCCTCATAAAAAGTACCTCGTGTGGAAAAACTGCAAAAAGTGTCTCTTGATATAGGGAATAAGTACTATCAGTGCTATTCACTAATGTGCGAATGGTTGATCATTCAAAGTGAATCGACTAACTTGACTAACCCTGTTGCATTCAGTTGCAATCATAATGTGTGCCCTATATGAGTGATGGTAAAATCACATGTTGTATAAAGGTAAAAACCCAACATATTCATAATATAACAGTTGCAATATATATATATAATATATATGTGTGTATATATATATATATATATTAATTAGCGTTCCTATAATTTAATAACTTAAAGGTAGTTATTGTAGAATAATGTTTGCATAATGCTTTAGGATATGTAGTGAATAGTTAAAGTTCTGGCTAGACTATGGTCATCGAGGAATGAGTTGGAAAACCCTGTTCTGCAGGATGTGATAAATCTATTATAATATAGCCTTACTTCACACTTTTCCTTTATAGTTACATAGTCACATAGCTGAAAAGAGATTTTCTCCATCAAGTTCAGCCTTCCGCACATTTGGTTTTTGCTGTTGATCCAAAAGAAGGAGGAAAAAAAAATGAACCACTTTTGCAACAAGCTAGGGAAAAAATTCCTTCTTGACCCCAGAATGGCAGTCAGATTTATCCTTGAATCAAGCAGTTATTACCCTACATTGAAAGATTATATCCTTGAATATTCTGTTTTTGCAAGTATGCATCTAGTAGCTGTTTGAACATCTGTATGGACTCTGATAAAACCACTTCTTACTTCACACTTTTCTTTTATGATGCTACAGGATATCCAGAAGAAAAGACAGAACAAGGACTTGATTGAGTTGCAATCTTTGATTGATACTCATTTTGAGGGTCGTAAGAAAGAAGAAGAGGAGCTCATCGCTCTAAAAGACAGAATTGTAAGTTATGTCCTTCTAAAAGGTATTAAACTGGTTGAATGCTGATTTTATGGTGCATGTTGTGTTATTGTTCTGTAATTTTTGGGAACGTATAGTCATTAAAATGTGACTCGATATAGCGAGGGGAACTTATCTACCACAAACTAAATAAAAAAAAAACCTTCAAATGTTAACTGTTTAATTCTCCCTTCACTGTACGAAATCAGATAATATAAAGATAAACGTAATGTTACATTGGAATGTTCCAAAATGCTTATTTTCCTAGATAGGCAACATTCAATAGTTCTAGTGAAAGTACTATGCCGTAAATCACCTTTGTCCAGCTGTAGATGAAATTCAATCATTGTTGTCTAATAGTGCAAATAGATCTATTTGCTTTGTAATACTTGCATTTATCTAGTAAGAAACTGTTTTGAAAATAAAGATACATCACAGGATGGCTATTTGCCCATTTTCTTGTAATAACCCGATCTTACCTGTAATTTTCAGGAAAAGCGCAGAGCTGAGAGAGCAGAGCAGCAAAGAATCAGAGCAGAGAAAGAGAAAGAGCGTCAGAACAGATTGGCTGTGAGTATTCTGAAATTATAACTCATCAAAAACACAGCTTGGGTATTGTAGCTTATCAAGACTCCAGCTTGGAGATTCTAGCTCATCCCAAGACCTCGGCTTGGAAATTCTAGCTCATCCCAAGACTTCGGCTTGGAAATTCTAGCTCATCCCAAGACTTCAGCTTGGAAATTCTAGCTCATCCCAAGACCGGGCCTGCCTTGTGAACTCTAGTTAATCCCAACACCCAGAATTCTGCATCCCCCAAAACACCATCCCCTCATACTCCCAGTTCCCAAACACAATGCTCACACTCCAGCTCCAGTCCTTTGTCTACATGCTTTACTACTACATCCTCAAATGGCTCAAAACAGTGCTCTTATATTTTTCAAGTAAAACCATTTCTGTGATTCCAGACATCATTGCTCCCATAAACGGCATCTTAGAACAAGTTCCCAACTATGGTGCACAATAATAATCTAAACCTCCCCCCCCCACCGCCCTAATACCTTAACTGTTATATGCTACTCCCACAAACCACCTGCACTTGAACTATTTTTTTAAACACAACTTTGGTAATTTTATCATACTCAATAACTTTGCGCTCTGCAGGAGGAGAAGGCAAGAAGAGAAGAACAGGATTTGCTGAGACGTGCTGAGGATGACATGAAGAAGAAGAAGGCTCTTTCATCCATGGGGGCTTCTTACAGCAGCTACCTGGCCAAGGTATGTCGGAAGATAATTGTCAAAACAAGATGAACTGTATTAGCTTGACCTTATCCTTATTTTTCCACTATTAAGCACTTTTGTTTGTGGGGATCTTCTGTATAAAGTGGGGATGTCAAAGGTAGATGCACATATGTCCAACTACAGCCCCCATGATGCTTTACCGTCCTTAAAACCACACCTATATTGATATGTGGTGCATGTCGGTGATCACCTTCCCAAATCAATGTGTATGTAATGGATACTTATTATTATTATTATTATTATTATTGCCATGTATATAGCGCCAACCGATTCCATAGCGCTTTACAGTAATATTAGAGGGGGGGATTTAACTATAAATAGGACAATTACAAGAAAACTTACAGGCACAATAGGTTGAAGAGGGCCCTGCTCAAATGAGCTTACAGTCTATAGGAGGCGGGGTATAAAACACATTAGGACTGGAAATAGCAATCAAATAAGCTGGAGGAGAGAGTAGACTGCTGCCCTTTAGGAGATAGCAAGAGGTATGTGAGGTAGAGGTTAGTCTGGGAGCCTAAAGAAATGGGTTTTAAGGCACTTCTTAAATGACTGAAGACTAGGGGAGAGTCTGATGGCGGTAGGCAGGCTATTCCATAGGAAAGGAGCCATCTGCGAGAAGTCTTGAAAGCACGAGTTGGCCGTACGGGTGCGAGCAACGGGCAGAATGGAGAGACCGAGAAGGGGCATACCTATGGATCTGTGAGGAGATATAAGAGGGGCTAAGATTATTCAGTGTTTTATATGTATGGATTAACACTTTGAATTGACTCCTATAGGATACAGGAAGCCAATGTAAGGACTGGCAGAGGGGTGAGGTGTGAGAGAACCGACTAGAGTGGAAAATCAGTCTGGCGGCAGCATTCATTACAGACTGTAGCGGGGCAATATGGCCATTGGGAAGACCAATTAGGAGAGAGTTACAATAGTCCATGCGAGAGATTACTAGAGCATGGACAAGCTCTTTAGTAGCATCTTGTATAAGAAAGGGGCGGATGCGGGTGATGCTTTTGAGGTGGAATTGGCATGATTTGACAACAGACTAGATGTGAGGCTCAAAGGTGAGGCCAGAATCAAAATTAACACCAAGACAACGTGCTTGTGAGGATGGGCTGATATGGGTACCACCAATCTGAAGGGATAGAGGAGGAAAGACAAGAAGTTCTGTTTTGAAAAGATTCAGTTTCAGAAAGCAGGAGGACATCCAATCAGAGCTAGAAGAAAGGCAAGAGGTCACACATTGCAGGACATCAGGGGAGAGGTCTGGGGAGGAGATATATCTGGGTGTCATCAGCGTACAGGTGGTATTAGAATCCAAAAGAGGTAATAAGTTTGCCAAGAGAGGCAGTGTAAAGAGAAAATAGAAGGAGACCAAGGACAGAGCCTTGGGGGACTCCAATCGAGACAGGACGTATGGTGGAGGTATCATTAGAAAAGGAGACACTGAATGAGCGTTAGGAGAGATAAGAGGAAAACCACGAGAGGACATAGTCACAGAGACCGAGTGATTGAAGAGTTTGGAGAAGGAGAACATGATCAACGGTGTCAAAGGCAGTGGAGAGGTCAAGAAGAATTAGTATGGAATAGTGACCTTTGGATTTATCTGTGATGTCGTTAGTGACTTTGATAAGGGTAGTGTCAGTAGAGTGGAGGGGGAGGAAGTCAGACTGAAGAGGGTCAAGGAGAGAGTTGGAGTTGAGGAAGCAGGCCAGACGGGTGAAGACAGGTCTTTCAAGAAGCTTTGAGGAATAAGAGAGCAGGGATATAGGACGATAGTTAGAGGGGGAGGATGGGTCGAGACATGTTTTTTTTTTAAGATGGGCACTACAGTGGCATGTTTAAGGGCAGCAGGAACAGTGCCAGAAGAAAGAGAGCAGTTGAAGATGTGTGTTAAGGAGGGCACAAGACAAGAGAATTGTCTAATAGAGATATTACATGTAATTCACGCTAATCCTGATCTCCCAGTATTTACTGAATAAATGGAAATCATGCTAGTCTCCAGAACCTTTTATAAATGTATTCTAGTCTTTACCTCCACATCTCTCTCATTCTTTATCCCACGTGCATGCGCTAGTTTTGAATCTGAATTGTGGTCCCAGCGTTTAGATTTATAGGTTCTAAAAGTTCTGATCTCCACACTTAGGCTTTATAAAGAATTACAGTGATGTAGAAGGCATTTGAATTCATTTTTTTTTAACAACTCTCTAGGCCGACCAGAAGAGAGGCAAAAAGCAGACAGCCCGTGAGCAAAAGAAGAAGATTTTGGCAGATCGTCGCAAGCCCCTGAACGTTGACCACATGAGTGAGGACAAGCTCAGGTACCACCTAATATACACTCCCACCCAGAGAACGTTCCACGTTCCATATTGTTATTGCATGAAGGCACTCCACTTACGGTAAGGTTTGGGGTATATCGCGTGTACCCCTAAATATCTGTATTTATTCATCACAGGGACAAGGCAAAGGAATTGTGGGACTGGCTGTATGAGCTGGAGTCTGAGAAGTTTGAAATGGGAGAGAAACTCAAGAAACAGAAATATGAGGTGAGAGAATCTCAGATTGGTTACTTTATAATTACCCCCTATTCTGGCCCTCAGAGCTTACACTCTCTTTATTTGTAGTTTTTTAAGGAAATGTTTCCACTCAACAAGTTTAGCATAATGTGAATACTAGAGATCAGTTTTAATGATAGAAGTGGCCCTTATTTCTTAAAGCAATTGCTTATTGTAAAAAAAAAAAAAAAAAAAATTACCGGTTCATGAACAAATCACTCCATGCTCTTATTTACAGATACTTACATGAATGGCTGCCACTCTGTGTATTGTTTATCCAAATAGTTCAACTGTTCACTTTTTTGAACATGTTTATACACACGGTTAGGTATATCACCCATTCATATTCTATGTACGGAGTTAGAATTACTGACCACCTTGAGGGCACAGCTATTTTTCCAATTTAGCTACTTGGGCCTTACATTTTAAATTCACTTTAAATCATAGCACTTGTATACTTACCGGTCTGCATGCTGATCATATTGTGTAACTGCCAGTTTGTGAAAATAGCACATACCATCATGCCTTCTCATATACCGGGTCTCTCGCTATGTGCCAGTCTATGGACATATCTTACATCATGTGTATGTGCCAAATCAACCAATATATTAAGTCACATTATTAGTGTATGCACCTCTCTGTATATGATCATATCACATGTTCCAGTCTGTGTACGGATCATATCACACATATCACATGTGCCAGCCTGTGTACGGATCATATTATACGTGCCAGTCTGTGTACGGATCATATTATACGTGCCAGTCTGTGTACGGATCATATTATATGTGCCAGCCTGTGTATGGATCATATTATACGTGCCAGTCTGTGTACGGATCATATCACATGTGCCAGCCTGTGTATGGATCATATTATACGTGCCAGCCTGTGTATGGATCATATTATACGTGCCAGTCTGTGTCTGGATCATATTATACATGCCAGTCTGTGTACGGATCATATCACATGTGCCAGCCTGTGTATGGATCATATTATACGTGCCAGTCTGTGTCTGGATCATATTATACGTGCCAGCCTGTGTACGGATCATATCACATGTGCCAGCCTGTGTATGGATCATATTATACATGCCAGTCTGTGTCTGGATCATATTATACGTGCCAGCCTGTGTCTGGATCATATCACATGTGCCAGCCTGTGTATGGATCATATTATACGTGCCAGTCAGTGTCTGGTTCATATTATACGTGCCAGTCTGTGTCTGGATCATATCACATGTGCCAGCCTGTGTATGGATCATATTATACGTGCCAGTCTGTGTCTGGATCATATTATACGTGCCAGTCTGTGTGTGGATCATAATATACATGCCAGTCTTTGTTTATATAATAGTGAATGTATTCACTTGCCACATACATACATACATACAGAATAAGTAACTATCAATGTCTGACTGTCCATTGTGTCTCTGCGTTCTGATCCAACTGTGGATCTAGCTCATCAGTGTATCCATACTCCAGTCTACGTGATATTCCAGATCAGAATTCAAGCCATATATGAACTAGCATGTTACATATTACACGTCACCTCCGGTTAGCATAAAGAGACAGAATAAAAACTGTATACACATCCATTCACATAATCGCAAGATCGGTCTACTATGGTAACAGGAAACAGTTCATTCACAATGTAAGAGAAATAGCTGTCACTCAGTTTATTTACTTGGTAGGGTTATTGTAAAATGTAAAATGGTAGTAATTTAGTAAAAAACTTAATTCACTCACAATCCATCCATTAAGAAGGTCATGAAGGCATAGAAAACTCACTCATGGGGTGCATCCTGCAACTATTTCTGGCTGTAAATGGCACTTTTTCATGTCCTTATCTTGGTCTCTCTTAGATTACGACCCTGCATAGGAGAGTGGAAGAACTCTCCAAGTTGTAAGTAGAGTTATTGCCCCGGAAGGGGGAGCAGCACAAGGTGGTTCTTGCAGGCATGTGACAGAGTAGCAACTAGTACGACTGGGTATGAGGCTGGAGCAAATGTTACAAGAGATATTATAATACATGCTCCAAGACTGCAAACTCCAAACACGGGGTGATACAAAGACATAATGTCACCCACAATTCTCTATTTTAGAAACATAGGTGATCTGACCTGCACAAACTCTATTGAGATCCAGTAACAACCAGGGAGGGCTCCACGATTTAACATGACTAAGCTAAAGCTTATATGTTGAGGCATTATGGGTAAAATAGAAATCTTTACAGCCATTGTTTTATTGGTTATTTCATCCAAGACGGCACCAGTTTGTATTCCAGAATTTCTTTGCTTTCAAAAGTGAAAGTTTTTTTCTTTTTGTTTCTATAATACCCACCATATATTTATTATATAAATAAGAAATAACAAACCATTTTAAACATCTTAACCATTTGGTGGCATATGTTATCTCTGGATCTCGAACATTATACTCTAATGGTTGAAATGTTAAAGGTTGATTATGCTACTACTTGTGGAGCTATAGAGTCTCAGTACCCCAACTGCCACGCAGCTCAGTATAGAGTGTATCTCCACAACAGCCTGAGACACAACGTGTTTGGAACTACCATGTGCACAGTCTGTTTCCTGGAATCACTACTCTGCAAAAGAACACATAGGGTGCTTGCAGTCTTGGGGTTTGTTGCAGTGCTTTTGAGGCTTTTAATGGGGATACTGGTTGGGACTTGTTCCTCTGCTCCAGGACCTAACCCAGGTGTTGTTTGACGGTAAGTATCTAGATTTGAAGAAATATCTGGATTTTTTGTGTGTGTGTCAGAGGTACAGACAGGGCTCGTTTGCCACTATTCATTTACACAGGTTGGAGTGCTGCCCTGTTAAAAAGAGTATAAGGTAACTTATGTACATCATACACCTTGCTATACCTCCAAGAAGGTCCAGTGGAGCTGGAGGTAGGAAGTTCTTGAGAACTCGTCTTCATAAATGGGCTGTGTGTTGTTTTAACAGGTTACAACCCTCAGGAACCGTATTGATCAACTCCAGAAACAGTAAGTAGTAACACTATCACAAAATCTAACCTAAAGCAGCCTGTCTCCAAATACACTAAATTTGAGCTCACCCTTTTGGCTTACCATCTCCTTTACGAACATTCACCACAATCCTAAATTACCTCTCGTAATCCTTTCTCATAACACAACCATAAATCTACTAGGACTCCAAACCCTTCCAAAGTTTCAGAACATTTCAATCACTCATGTGTTAACTAATAAGTCCCATCCTGGGTGGATGTAGCTCCAAGGGCCTTGATGTAGAAACCATGCTGCCTAAATCCATGGCATTGATTGTTTCTGTTTCTTGATCATATTGTGAATCTTAAGACCTCAACCATGGAAATTATGAACTGCACAAAACCATAGAACCTAACACCTAGTTTTCTATTACCAAATCCTTATTCACTACGCCACCAAACTTTTCCACACCTCAGATATTGTATCTGTTTTACCAACACATGCCGTACTCTACCATAAACGGCATATAAAAGCACATTCATTATTATAATTCCAAGTCCCAACACTTTTTATATTATGGAATGAAATGCTGAAACCAATTTAAACCCTATGCATGTTCCTCTACTCATATTCCTTTAAACCCTCAAATTCTGCACAGTATGTCCCCAAAAATAACATTGTGTGATCCCAAACCTGTTTTGTCTAAACCACAATCATGTTCTTATACATTATTTTTTGTATGACCCAAGATGTGTTCTATTAAAGTGATATTTAACTCCAATCTAATATCTGCACTTGCTCCTTAATTATAAGAAATGGTTAAACCTACCAGCCCCTATTACATAACTGAGTATTGTTAACCTTAAAAGTTACTTTGGCTAGCCTGAGCTCCATGCTTTACCCATCATTTGGATTTAGAGAGACGAAATATGGCCAGTATTACTGTCTTAACAAGATAAATGTTACCAAGTAACCTTCCAGTCTAACCCTGTAATGTGCAGGACAAGTAAGTATAATACCTAGGTCTACTCTAACGCATCACTGACAGTTATAACAGGTATAGTATTTAAAACAGTTGGAGGCTGCGGTCCTGTCATCAGTAGAAAGACTAACATACCTGATCACCGACATTACAGAGGGGCAATTGAATATCTGCACAGCCCATGTTAAAAGAGCCAATAATATTGATATCTTACAAACCAAGGCCAATTAGATTGTGCTGGTGACAGTTACAACAGTCTGTACGTACGACTAGTATGCATGAGAACGAGAAGTAAAAGCATGTGTGAGGTATGCGCAGTCCTTCTAAACTAACACCAGAGAATATGGTAAGTAACCATTGCCTGTGAATGCTCTGCTCCAGTGGATCTGTACAGACTTCAAATTGTTCCTTCTTGTATATCACCATCACCGGGCCACTGGTTTTCTTTTCTATAGTTCTTCATAATCATCTGGTCTCCTTGTACATTCACTCATTGACTTTCTCTTCCTGAATTTCCAATTCTCCATTTCTGTAATTCTGTGCCCCTTAATTAAAAAAAATAAAAAAGAAGAAGAAACCCAGATGCCCATGTGAGGGAGGTAGAAGTTTTGTATAACCTTAATCCTCTTTGATCTTTGTCTAATTTTCCCATTAACAGCAGCAAGAAGGCAGGTGGCAAAGGAAAGGTTGGGGGCCGCTGGAAGTAAAACTCCAAAAATAATGATTAGGACGTGACAGAGAGCAGACTCCCTCCTCCTATCGCTCACCATCCCCAATACTGCAGGAAGCCGGCTCTACTTAGTGCCCTACGCGATAGTCATCCTGGCTCCCCACCCCCCCGGGTCACCTTTTTCTCTTGTGGACTGCTCTGTATAACCTCTTCTATTTTGTAAATAAAGATTGAAGCTTCTTAACCGAATGAGATAAAAATATCTGGTACTGTCTCAGACACACCTCAAAGAAAAAGATAAAAAGCTTATTTTGTATCCATGAGATTTACGCGTTTCAATTGGAAGCATGAACGACCAGTCCTGAAAGAGATGTGGTCCATACCTCAATGTAAGCATGAACCCAAATTACAATATTGAACCTACGTTTATATGAATTTATACATCTTTTTGTTGGAAGCCAAGCAGCTTCAATGAGAGAGGGAGGAAGGGAAGTAACCCCACCACAGGTAAGTGGTACTGTACTGTTGCCACTGTAACCACATTTGTAATGAAGGAACCATCCCAATGTCTCATCAAATCCTTCATGATGTAAGGATGTCTCATCAAATCCTTCATGATGTAAGGATGTATCATGGGCTCTCATACCATTAGGACATATTGACACATTTAAATGTTTACTAATGGCTACTGAGCAGGGTGAAATCCCTCCTCACACCAGGGAATTCCAGGTATCAATTGATACCTGGAGCTTCCCTGCCGAGGCCACATCAAAGTGACTACTGCATACAGCCTTTTAAATCAATTGAGAACACTGCAGCATGGCTGAAAATAGCCAGTAGATGGCGATCACACACCACTCTCTATGGTTTCACTAGGGGGGTGGTAGGCAACCTTCAGCACTCCAGATGTTTCCTATGATACTCTAACAGCCATAATGCTGGCAAAGCATCAGGTGAAATGTAGCCCACTATATCTGGAGTGCCGATGAGTTGCCTACTACTGTATTGGGAAATCCATCTGATCATTAGTCCTGTAAGTGTTAATACTGTTTAAGAGTAGTGTAGGTTTGAGGATAGTAGTAAGGTTGGGGTAGGTATACAGTTACAGGTAGCGTAAGCATAGGTTAAGGGTTGGGATGGGGAGAGGTTGGTATAGGTTTAGGGTTGTTATGGTGTTGGGATGGGGAGAGGTTGGTATAGGTTTAGGGTTGTTATAGTGTTGGGATGGAGAGAGGTTGGTATAGGTTTAGGGTTGTTATGGTATTGGATGGGGAGAGGTTGGTGTAGGTTTAGGGTTGTTAAGGGTTGGGATGGGGAGAGGTTGGGATAGGTTTAGGGTTGTTATGGTGTTGGGATGGGGAGAGGTTGGGATAGGTTTAGGGTTGTTATAGTGTTGGATGGGGAGAGGTTGGGATAGGTTTAGGGTTGTTATGGTGTTGGGATGGGGAGAGGTTGGTATAGGTTTAGGGTTGTTATGGTGTTGGATGGGGAGAGGTTGGGATAGGTTTAGGGTTGTTATAGTGTTGGGATGGGGAGAGGTTGGGATAGGTTTAGGGTTGTTATGGTGTTGGGATGGGGAGACTACCGCAAATGTGCTTAGACGTATAACACATTTCACAATCGGAACTGGTACCTGAATCTATTTTGAGTTATTTCTGTTTAATAGCACAGGATGTGTAAAAATTATTGGGAAAAAAAAGAAATCTGGGGAAAAAAAAGTGTACCCCCCATTTTTAACATTTTATTCTAACTTAATACCGTTAGGTATACATATAGGATGTTAAAGAAAGCTCTCTCTCTATATATATTTATATATATTATGTTATTATTTATATAGCGCCATCAAATTCCGCAGAGCTTTACAATGGGTGGACGAACAGACCAGTAGTTGTAACCAGACAAGTTGGACACACAGGAACTATAAATCCAAAAAGGTTATGGTGGGGAAAAATTGTGATTGAAAACCCTTTCCACCTGAAGTCTGTGGATAGTGAATACAATGTTAATCAAAAATCTGCACACCAGTCAAGCCAGAAGACTTGCTTTTTCCACAGAAATCACAATTTTGCAGTGATGTTACTACCGCAAAGGGTTCTGGGTGAGCATATGCAAATTAATTCAACAAAGAATCACATTTCTTTGTTGAACTATACACACCAGGGGTGAAATTCGTCTCATGAGTGCTAAATCTACACTTGCGAATGTCTAAATGTTAATCCCTGCAGTTCACCATTTATGCACAAAGTCCTCATGATGAAATACACTTGGACACATATTAAAATAAGACTATATAGAAAGGGGCAGTTTCTCTACAAATGACAAATAATTGGTGTAGTATTTATCAATGCCTCAAAGAATCGAAGATCCTAGGGGTGCCATAGAACATTCAAGGTTCTCAAATTAATAAAATAATTAAGTGAAATAATAAATTGTCGGCTTTGTACGTTTTCCAAAATAATGAGATGAGTTAATTTTTGTTTATTTTGAGATTGTATCCCTTGATTATTCAGGATTCAAACTTTGAACTCTGTTTTATCATACTGAGACTACACACATAATCTGCTCTGTATTCTATTGTCTAATAAACAATAGTACTACAAATTAACAAAAAGAATGACAACAATGTAAAATATTTGTTAAACAGATCAGCTGGATGCAGGCATGCGATTATAAAATGACTAGTTATACATTTTAAAAAAAAATACCCTTCAAGAAATTACACTAAAGCATAAAAATTGTATGTTAGATCAAACTTTATTTAAGGCAGGTTTGAGTGTTTATATATACATATATTCAACAACTTTAAATAGCCAAAGAGGGGCAATATTTATTTAGACTGTGGGACAGCTGAGAAGATTATTTTAGATGAATACAATCTTTGACAGCCATTCATGTCATGTAAGTCAATCACATGGAAAAGACCAGTCATGTTGGAGTATATTAATGAAAATATATTATAGTTACATAGCTGAAAAGAGACTTGCGTCCATCAAGTTCAGCCTTCCTCACATATGTTTTTTGCTGTTGATCCAAAAGAAGACAAAAAAACCCAGTCTTCCAATTTTGAAACACACTAGGAAAGAATTCCTTCTTGACCCTAAAAATAGCAGTCTGATGTCTCCTTGGATCAAACAGTAATAGCTAATTGGAAATTATATCCCTGTATGTTATGATATTGCAAGTATCTGTCCAATTGCAGTTTAAATATCTCTACGGACTCTGATACCACCTCCTCAGGCACATATTCCATATCCTTATTGCCCTTATAACTGTAAAAAAACAAAACCTTTTCTTTGCCTTAGATGAAATCTCCTTTCTTCCAGCCTAAATGTGTGACCTCGTGGCCTATGTATAACCCTGTTTATGAATAGATTTCATAATTACTTTCTCCTTTTAAACTGAGTTTACAGTTTATTTAGCTTTATGACTTGCACAACAAAAAACAGGATGCTTTAAGACACTTTGTAGCATAAATGGAATTTACAGAACATATTTCAATTAAGTTAGTTAGGACATAAGAAGGGGGTGCAAAGAGTGAAGCTGCAATTGTCTCCTCAGAAACCACAGAATGTCACAAGTAAAGAATTTATGCTTACTTGCCAGACACTGAAACTAGACTAAAAGTTCAAAGCATAACATGAAAGTAAAAAACAGACTGGACATCCAGTCATCTGTAGCTTGAGCCTGGGGTCAAGGAGCCTTCCGTCACAATTCCCCTCTTTTTGACCCCAAGGCTCACCCAAGAGTTATGTCCAGGTATGCTAGTCATACCTGTAGCTCTTTTATTATGCCTTCACCACGGTTCCCTCAGTTATACAGCACTGTAGGTGTCAGAGGTTGAGGAAGCTGGCATATAAATTAAGGTACGACTAACATGAGGTTTTGATTTACACAAGGATGAGGACAGCAGAAGAACTTAAAGGTCAGAAAAATCATCACTATGATAAATACTGCGATAAGTAAGAAATACAATATTTTCTTAATTAGCACATTGAGCCACGTACCAAGACCAAAGGTCCAATCCCAATCCACAAAGAACCCTGTATCTTGTTTTATTTCCCTCACTAGACCGTGCAGATTCTGTATATGCTCATGGTCTGAAAGATTAAAGCAACATATGCCCTTTACTGCCTCACACCCTTAATTATGTTTCATTAACAAATAGTCAATAGCTGCCCTATTTTTAAGGATCGCTTTCTTATTAACCTGGGTATCCATTAGAAGTTCCTACAGACAGAGACGTGTTTTCCGCGAGGCAAACAAGGCATCTGCCTTGGGAGGCATTTTGCAAGGGGCAGCAAAAAAAGCCAACCCCCAAACGCCCAGGCAGATCCCTTGCTTGCCTCGCGTCCTGCAGGGCTCAAGAGCTGGCCGGCTGGCCACTTTTGAGTACCCTCCCCCATTGCTGACAGCGAGGGAACATACTCACCTGAGCACTTCCTTCTTAGCTCCCTCCGCGCCGCTTAATGAAGACGGGAGCTTGAATATGACAGACTGGCTCCCAGCATCACTAAGCGCCGCCAACTCAGCCTGTGCGCCCCCTGCCTGCCTGACCAGCAACACCACTGGGCAGGTAAGCAATCCACTCCAGCTCTCCCAGGGAGGCTGGGTGGATTTAAAACAAAAACAAAAAATTATAATAATTTGTAAGTGTTGGGAGAAGTGTGTTTGTGTCTGTGTGTATGTGTCTGTAAGTGTGTGTGTCTGTGAGTCAGTGAGTGTGTATGTGTCGGTCAGTGAGTGCGTGCGTCTGTCAGTGTGTGTTCAAGTAATAGTGTGTGTGTATGTCATTGTTTGTCAGTGTATATGAGAGTGTGTATCTGTCAATGAGTGTATGCGTCTGTCAAAGTGCAGCCTTGACAGGAAGGGGTGGGGGAAATTTAAATACACCACTGCCTCCAGGGCCTGGGATGTTGCATTTAAACCTCTGGCGAGGGAACAGGCTTGGGTATTAATTACTTGGGTATTATACAGTGCTAAGCCTGGGACTCCTACCATAGAGTACACAAGGGCAGATTATTCGGATTTAGATAAGAGAGTGATTTCAGGGTTACAATCTGAAGTAAGGGTGTTTTTGACATCTCTCCTGTCTCTCTGCGGTTTGTGTAGCTGGGTGGTTTCAAAGATCAGGTCAGATTTGGAAAACATGGTCATGGTTAGGTGAGAGATTGCACAGGGACCTCCTGTAATGTTACCTGGGACATAAGCATAAGTAACATTTACCTACAATTTGTGGTATTTTTCCACCATGTAGGGCAAAACAGAACATGCCCAAACCCGACTTCAAGAGGGTAGAGGACACAGCTGCAGTATGTGCCCCTTCATTCGAAGATAGTCTCTTAAACAATTACATGAAAAAGACCAACATAGTTCAACGATTGTCACATTAATTGTCTTCAGGCCTGGGGAGCTTGCCTACCAGTGGGTTGAAAGCATAAGAATGTAGTTGTAGAGTTTTATGTGGTCTATGGGTATATAGGTACTTCTGCTAGAGTGGGATGGGGTAGGGCAGCTATAAGACAAGATTGTATGGCGTTTTCAGTACTGAGGAGAGGGTTGAGGCAAAAGAAGGTTAAATTGAAAGCTTCTGTTATCTGCATCCATATATTTCCCTGCCATGTATTTTTATCTTCTGGTCTCAAGTCAGAGTAGCATATCTGAACAGATCATACAATGGTAAAGGATAAGAACAGCTTCATGTCGGTGGATCAGTCGGAGTGACTTGTTTACAGTCAATGGCGTGTATCCACGTGGCTTTTCCTTCTAGTTCCGCCGAGGTGGCGGTGGTTAGCAATACCTGGAAGGGACCATCAAATCTTGGCTCAAGCCCTTTTCTCACGTGTCTTTTTATCACTACCCAATCTCCAGGTTGTAGTTCATGAGTGGTAGAACTGGAGTCTGGATCTGGAATAGAATCAAACACTTGTTTATCCACCTGCCATAACTACTTATGGAGGGCCTGGATATATATTGTAATTGGAGTGTCTTGTGGGCACATCCAAACAAAATTTCAAAAGGGGATAGACCATTTCTTGGCTGAGGGGTGAATCTCATAGAGACGAGTGCTAGGGGAAGGCATTCAGACCAAGGCTTACCTGTCTCTTGCACGGCTTTTGCAATTTTATTCTTTAGGTTGCCATTTGCCCTTTCTACTTTCCCACTACTCTGGTGGACATAGGGGGTGTGGAAGGCCTGACTGATCCCTAGTGCCTTCATTATTTCTTGCATTATTTCCCCAGTGAATTGGCTACCTCTGTCACTTTCAATCACTTCAGCTACCCCATATCTACATACCAGTTCCTTCAGAAGCTTACCCGCTGTGGCTTTCGACACTCAGGCCAACCTGAAAAGAGATTAATGCACACCAACACATATTCAAACACTCCTACCTTAGGCAGTTGAATATAGTCTATCTGCAGTCTCTGAAACAGGTAAAGTGGCCTTGGGATATGTTTACCTGGTGTTTTGACAGCCTGTCCGGGGTTATTCCTAGCACAAATCCTGCAAGTTCGGGTATGCTTAGCTGTAAACCCAGGTGCCACCCAATGGGTATTCACTGTACAGTTCATGTTCATCTTGGATAAATGTGTGGGTCCATGGGCTACTTGAGCCATCATAGGGTACAATACTTGTGGTAAACACAGTCCTTTACCTTTTCTCCACATCTTGTCATCATCAGGAAAAGGAATTTACAAAACTAAGCATATTTCAACGAAGTTAGTTAGGACATAAGAAGGGGTGTACAAAGGGTGAAGCTGCAATCGTCTCCTCAGAAACCACAGAATGTCACAAGTATAGAATTTATGCTTACTTGTCAGACACTGAAACAAGATAAAAAGTTCAAAGCATTACATGAAAGTAAAAACAGACTGGACATCCGGTCATCTGTAGCTTGAGCCTTGGGTCAAGGTGCCTTCCATTACACAGGGAAGAGGGGTGACCACCCGAAGGCAAAACTACACCCTTTACCCATAATAGAGGAGCCCTTCCACCGGGTAGCCGTGGACTTGATAGGCACCCTTTGTAAGCCCAGCACCTCGGGAAAGAGGTATATCCTCACGGTAGTAGATTATATTACTAGATTCTCAGAGGCTGTAGCCCTTTCTAATATAGAGGCAGAGACTGTGGTGGAAGCTCTAGTGAAAATTTTTACTAGGGAAGGCTTTCCTAGGGAGATTCTATCTGACTAGGGGACCCAGTTTACGGCAACTGTAACCCAACAGTTATGGCAAAGTAGCAGCGTAAAATCCCTGTTTAGCTCTCCCTACCACCCACAGACGAAAGGACTTTGTGAACGCTTTAATGGCACGCTCAAGCAGATGCTTAGGATGTTCGCAGTCTCCTTTTGGCGGTGGGAAAGGTTTCTCCCTCATCTCCTGTTTGCCTAACGTGAAGTATCCCAGGTGTCTACAGGGCCCCTTCGAACTCCTTTACGGGAGAAAAGTACAGGGACCCCTTGATCTCATACGGGAGCACTGGGAGGGTAACACAGGAGAGGAAGGAATACCTATCATGCCGTACGTTCTGGAATTGAGGGATCGCTTGCAGGCTCTCACCGATTCTGTCACTCAAGGGCGGAGTGAACTTTAGTCCAAGTCTCACGAATAGAAGTAAGGTGATTATCCTGGGCAGGAACAGCTGTGTCAGAGAATACAGCAGGTAAAACAGTAGGATGACGAGCGAAAATGGGCTATGTCCGGATGAGTCATGTGTAGCATTGTTCCTGACAAACTCGGCTCGGGGCAGCAATTCAGACCAGTTATCCTGTGTGCTATTCACAAAACAATATAAATACAATTAGAACGATTGGTTAGCCCTCTCAGTCGCACCATTGGTTTGGGGGTGGTAAGAATTAGAGAATGATAGTTCAATACCCAACTGTTTATTGAATGCTCTCCAAAACCGTGACACAAACTGGGAACCCCTGTCAGATACAATATTTTTGTAGCGGTACTTACCCTTTCCAGGGGTCGCTGGGGTCCTCTGTTCGAACCGCGCGCGGTCCTGCTGCTGCACGAGCCGCGCGCGGCTCATCCAACGGCTGTAACAGGAAGGCGGGCAGTGACCGCGAGAAGCGGACATGTGCCCCGCCTAACTCTAAGAGCGCGCCGCGGGTCTTGGGCGCGCTCTTAAAGGGAAAGTGGGAGCCTAAATTGGAAAGGGCATCCCATTGGTCCCTGTCATGCCCCACTCCCCATACACTTACCTTTTGGGGGCGTGGATGTGACAGGGACCAATCATATTAGATGTTTAGGTATATATACTCACCTTTTTCCTTTAGTTCCTTGCCCTATCGTGGTTTCTGTTTCAGTTCCCTTTAGCGCTTGTTGTGTTCAGTTGTGTTCCTTCGTACTTGACCTTGGCTTTGTTTCTGACTACGTTATCTCTTTATCCTTATCTGTTCTGTTTGCCGGCTTGCTGTTTTCTGTGTACCAGACCCCGGATAGTCCAAGTTTACGCTGTCTCTTTGTGCCCTTGACCTCGGATCGCTCCTGACTCTGTATCTTTCTCCTTTACGTCAAGTCTGGCCCCTCTAAGGTCCGGTAGACGTACCTTCCCTCTGTGCTGACATTTGTTTAGCTTTAATCCTGCGTGTTGGGGTATATTTTCGTTACAATTTTAAAGAGAATACCATTCTCAATTTTAAAGAGAATACAGAGCTCCTTGTACTCTGACCGAGTACCCTCCGTTGATGGATGCTCCTAGCGCTTCCTGAGGACTCCAAACACTGCAGCAGACACCACAACCACCGCAGACTCCACAACCGCCGTAGCTTAACTGGAGTCTCGCCGTCTTCCTTCCACCCTGGATCAGCTTCTGTCCTCCAGGACCGTGTGGGGAAGACCTCTCCTCCAGGAGAGCGTAACAGGAACAGCTCTTAAAAGAGCTAAGTGATTAAAAGCTCAGGGGAGTATGCAGAGCATAGCAATCCCCAGTGTGATATAGCAGTTCCCTCCAATAACGAGACAAGGCTACGTATTGAGGGTTAAGAAGATCTGATGTTTAATGGCACACACTCTGCTTTTATGAGATTCTGCCCATGCAAGGGAGACACCCACATAATTAGCAGTATAACCAATCGGAACAATATACATTCGGGGAAATTCCCATCCCTCAGATAATCACATAACATAATTAAAACAGAACAGTAAAAATACAGTTTTTATACATGTACTATAACTTCCAAACTACACATCCAATCTTCATAAAAATTACATATTTGGAATCAATCCATTAAGGGGAGCAACATATTAAAAAATGGCACAAATCAGACAAGGGGTTCAAAAGTTAGCAAAAGTGTCTTTTGGGGCCTGGCTGGCAGCATGGTTTTCTGGCCCAAACCGGTTTTACAGAGGCCTCTATCCTGGACAATGGGGAAAGTAATCCAATTATCCAGGGATAGAGGCAGACTCCATTAACCACATGTTAGCAAAAGACACAAAAAGACACAAAAATACATAACTCCTATTGAACTGAACAGAACCCCCACATTCAACCTATCCCCAGATGGCTTGGATCTGAGCGCTCAATATATCCAAACAGCGCTCAGATCCCACAAATACAGTCAAATCGCCATACACACTAGGTGTATAACACAGGGAAGCAGGGCAATTTGTCAAATAAAATAACAGTTACAAATGGCAGTTTGTAACACATGTAGTCTGACAATGTCGTGTATAAATATAAGAACCAGATCTTGTGAAGATGGCCGCTTTTTAAAAAAGCGGCCAACCACCATAAGGATGATGGTATAACCTTTCGAACTCGGAAGTTCCACAATGAAATCCATGGACTAGTGGGACCATGTAACACTGGGTAAAGGAAGTGGATGTAACAATCCACAAGGAAGTCTACGAGGAACCTTTCAAACTGCACATACAGAACAGGCCTCCACATATTATTTGATATCTTTCCTGAGTGAATCCCATCAAAATTATCTTGAGACAGCAGATATGGTCTTATTAATACCGAGATGCCCAGCAGTCACATTGCTGTGGAATACCCTCATTACTTCCTCTCTTTTAAGCAACATAATAAACAATTTATCTAGAGTTTTATTGCAAGGTGCCTGGGATTGAGCTGCCATGATAGCACAAAGAAGAGGACAAGGAAATAACAGTGGAAGCAATGATCAATTCAGGTGGAACAATAGGGGATGTATCTGTCAGGATTACAGAATGATCCAACACGTAGAACTGTGTAACACAGAGGACTGATAGGTAACGTATACCGGACCTTAGAATGGCCGGACTAACGTACCAAAGAATAGTCAGGAATAGCCGAGGTCAAGGGATGCCAGAAAACAGGGAAGTCAAAAACAATGCCAAAGTCAAATAACCAGAATAACCAGAATCAATAACACGCTCTCGGACAACCACGACAGGGCACTGAGCAGGATGAGAACTGGGCCTAAATACCCCTCCTCTAGGTCTGATAGGCTGTAACCGGCCTTTGACCCCAAAGGCAGTTACCAGATCTCATTTGCATAATTGCTGCTCAGCATTAACCCTTCTGTGGATTTGGTTGTTGCTCGGCACAACAAGAGGTTTGAGCAAGGACACATGAAAGGTATTAGGAATTTTCAAGGAGGCCGGAAGGGCCAGAAAGTACGCAACAGGATTGATCCTACAAAGGACACGAAAAGGTCCAAGGAACCTAGGAGCAAATTTCATGCTAGGGACTTTGAGCCTGATGTTACGAGAAGATAACCAAACCCTCTCACCCACTTGGTAAACAGGGTTGGCACCTCGATGTTTATCAGCAAAATGCATGAAACGGTCATCAGCAGTACCCAGAGCAGATTGAACTTTAACCCAGGTATCACGGATGGAAGCCAGAAGGTCATCCAAAGCAGGAATAGCCGTGTCAGAAAAAACTGCCGGTAGGACAGTAGGATGCCGGCCATTATTAACAAAAAATGGACTATGCCCAGAGGAGGGTCAGCATTGTTCCTAGCAAACCGGGCCATGGTAATAATTCGGACCAATTGTCTTGAATGCTATTAACGAAACAACGCAAGTATAACTTCAAAGACTGGTTAACCCTCTCAGCTGTGCCATTAGTGTGGGGGTGGTAAGAGGATGAAAAAGACAATTCAATCCCCAATTGCTTATTGAAAGCCCTCCAAAACTGGGATACAAACTGAGAACATCTATCAGATACAATATTGTGAGGAATGCCATGCAGACGGACAATCTCACATATAAATATTAGTACCAGGTCTTGAGATGACGGTAATTTCTTGAGAGGGATGAAGTGAGCCATTTTAGAAAAACGGTCAACAACCATGAGAATGGTGGTATAACCATTAGAACTAGGAAGTTCTACAATGAAATCCATAGACAAGTGGGACCATGGGACCTCAGGAACGGGAAGAGGTTGTAACAAGCCACAAGGGAGTTTATGAGGTACTTTGGAAACCGCACAAACAGAACAAGCCTGCACATACTCCTTAACATCCTTCCTGAGGGAATCCCACCAGAATGACCTCATGAAAGCAGAAGTTGATTTATTAATACCTGGGTGACCAGCAGACACATTGTCGTGAAACACCTTCATGATATTAACCCTTTCCCCCAATGGAATGAACAATTTGTCCTGAGGTTTACCACAGGGCGCCTGAGACTGAGCCTCCATGATGGAGCCAAGCAGCGGAGAGGACAATGAAAGGATAGTGGAAGCAATGATACATTCCGGGGGAATGATATGGGACTTTTCTTGCTCTTGTATAGACTCAGTATCAAACTGTCTGGATAAGGCGTCAGCCTTGACATTTTTAGAACCAGGTCTATAAGTAATAAGAAAATTCAAGCAAGAAAGGAACAGAGACCACCTAGCTTGTCTAGAAGACAATCGTTTAGCATCTCCTATGTAAGCCTGGTTTTTGTGATCAGTAATGATCAAAAGGGGGTCCTTGGAACTCTCTAAAAGATGTCGCCACTCCTTGAGAGCTAGAATAATGGCCAACAATTCCCTATTGCCAATATCATAATTGCGCTCGGCAAGCGACAACTTTCTAGAGAAGTAACCACAAGGATGCAATGGAGTTTCCTGGCTCTCCCTCTGGGAGAGAACTGCCCCTACCCCTGTTTCTGATGCATCAACTTCTAGTATGAAAGGTTTACTGGTGTCAGGATGTATCAATATGTCGGCAGAGGCAAACCGCTGTTTGAGAGTTTCAAAGGCTTCTATCACCTCCTTAGACCATATCGTAGTGCTAACCCCCTTGCGTGTCATATTGGTGATGGGGGCTATTACTGAAGAAAATCCCTTTATAAACCTTCTGTAATAATTGGCAAAACCAACGAACCTTTGAATGGTTTTCAACCGAGCGGGTAAAGGACATTGTAGAACCGATTCCAGCTTTTTAGGATCCATCTGAAACCCAGAGGCAGAGATATTATATACCAAAAACTGTACTTCAGATTGGTCAAAGATGCATTTTTCTAATTTATAATAAAGTTGATTCTTTAACAAGGTCTGCAGAACTTGTCTAACGTGATCATGGTGAGTTTGAATGTCAGAAGAATAAATAAGGATATCATCCAGATAGACCAAGACAAACGAGTAAATGTAATCCCTGAGTACATCATTTATGAAATCTTGGAAAACCGCTGGAGCATTGCACAACCCGAACAGCATCACTAGATATTCATAGTGTCCACTTCTGGTATTAAATGCAGTCTTCCACTCATGGTTTTCCTTGATTCTCACTAAATTGTAAGCACTTCTAAGATCAAGCTTAGTAAATACTTTAGCACCTTGGAGTCTATCAAATAATTCAGCAATAAGAGGAATGGGGTAGGCGTTCTTAATGGTGATTTTGTTCAATGCCCTGTAATCGATACATGGGCGCAACTCACCGTCCTTTTTAGATACAAAAAAGAATCCTGCCCCAGCAGGCGAGGATGATTTTCGTATGTGGCCTTCATTCAATGAATCCTTAATATATTCCTCCATTACTCTACTCTCCTGAGGTGACAGAGCATAGACTGCTCCCTTAGGTGGCATAGCGCCAGGTAGTAAATTAATAGAACAGTCATAAGGTCGGTGAGGAGGTAGAGTATTCGACTGAGTTTTGCTGAATACTTCTTTAATGTCTTGGTACTGTATAGGGATTTCCAGGTTTTGAGGTGTACTAGTGGGTAATCCAATAGTGCCCACTCTTTTGACAAGATTCAATATACACCTTTCATAACAATCCTTACCCCATTCTAATATTCCCCCATTAGCCCAGTCAATATGAGGGTTATGCTTGTTAAGCCATGGGAAGCCTAATATGATTGGACAGGAAGGGGATGCAATAACCTGAAATGTAATCTCTTCCTTATGTAAGGCACCAATGGACACATTAATGGGTAAGGTTTCGTGTGTAATCAATGGTTGTGAGAGTGGTCTCCCATCAATAGCTTCAACAGCTAGGGGTGATAGTCTCTCCTTGATAGGTATAGTATTACCTTTAACAAATTGAATGTCAATGAAGTTTCCAGCGGCACCTGAATCCATCAGGGCTTTGCATGAAAAGTTCTTATTTTCAAAGGCAATAGTAATATCAAGGAGAAACCTATTTTTATCCATTCCAGAGGACGTTTCCATTACACCTAAGACCTGTCCCCTTAAGGTGCGGTAGTTTTCCGGACGTATGGGACAATTGTTTCTCATATGTCCTTTTCTACCACAGTATAGACATAGGCCTTCTTTTCTCCTATATTGTCTTTCTGCTTCCGACAGTCTAGTGACCCCCAACTGCATGGGTTCGGGTTCAGACTGTACAGGAATTTCAGGGACAATAGGTCTGGAGAAACGGGGTGCTAAATGCATACTCATGCGTCTGGTCTTGTTTCTAGTAGCTTCTCTGGTTCTTAATCTATTATCAATCTGCATGACAAAAGTGATAAATTCATTAAGCTTTTGGGTAAATCTTTGGCGGCAATCTCTTCTAGCATAGTTTCAGATAATCCTTTTTAAATGCAGAGAGTAAAGGACCACAAACATACTCGTTTTCCTGGCACTATAGGGTCCCTAGGTCCCCCCCACCCTAAGGGCTCTAGGGAGTAGAGGGGTTTAAATCTTACCTTTTCTCCACCGCCGGGCTCCCTTGGCGGTGGAGACTCTCCTCCTTCTTTCCCCGTCATCGCCTGAATGCGCATGCGCAGCACGGGCCGCGCGCGCATTCAGTCAGTCTCATAGGAAAGCATTCTCAATGCTTTCCTATGGACGCTGGCGTCTTCTCACTGTGAAAATCAATGAGACAACCACTAGAGGCTGGATTAACCCTAAAGTAAACATAGCGGTTTCTCTGAAACTGCTATGTTTACAGCAGAAAGGGTTAATTCTAGATGGACCTGGCACCCAGATCACTTCATTAAGCTGAAGTGGTCTGGGTGCCTATAGTGGTCCTTTAACCCACTATTAGTCCAGTGTACCTCGGAAGCTAGGGTACGAAATTCTATGGCATATTCCAAGATAGAGCGGTTCCCTTGTCTGATGTGCATCAGGGCAGTAGAGGCGTCATCCTCTCTGCCTAAAGGTTCAAACGTAAGTTTGAATTCCGTAAGGAACTCCTGGTAATTGTGTGCCACACTCCTATTACTCTCCCATAATGGATTGGCCCAAGCTAAAGCTTTACCTTTTAATTGATTCATCAGGTAACCAATTTTAGCTCTGTCTGTGGGAAAAGATCCCGGTGAGGCCTCAAAATGATACTCTATTTGGTTAAGGAATCCCCGGCATTCTTGGAAATTACCATCAAAATGCAGAGGAGGAGATAGAGAGATAGTTGGTACCTTGTATACTATAGGCAGAGGTACACAAGGCAGAGGTGACACAGTAGGAGCAGCCACAGGTTGCAGATGTGCTGTACGAGTAAGAAGCGTACTGAAAGCCTGGGCAAATTGATCCAAGCGGTGATCATTATCCTCCAGTTTCCTTTTGCAAGCAGCTATGTGCTTACACAATTCTACAGGATCTATGGCCACGTCGTAATGTCAGGATTACAGAATGATCCAGCACGTAGAACTGTGTAACACAGAGGACTGATAGGTAACGTATACCGAACCTTAGGATGGCCGGACTAACGTACCAAAGAATAGTCAGGAATATAGTAGGACCATACAGTACAACTAGCCCCCTTACGTGTCACATTGGTGATGGGGGCTATCATAGAAGAGAACCCTTTGATGAATCTCCTATAGTAATTGGCAAAACCAATAAACCTGTGAATGGCTTTTAAACCATTAGGTAATGGCCAGTGTAGAACGGCCTATGGTTTATGAGGATCCATTTGGAAACCAGAGGCTGAAATATTATACCCCAAAAACTGTACCTCCGTCTGGTCAAAGGTGCATTTTTCAAGTTTACAATAAAGCCCCCTTTCAAGCAAAGTTTGCAGCACTTGATTGATATGTTTATGATGAGTCTCGAGGTCGGGGGAATAAATAAGGACATCATCCAGGCATACTAGAACAAAATAGTAAATATAGTCTCTGAGCACATCATTAATAAAGAAATACGGCCGGAGCATTGCATAAACCGAATGGCATGACAAGGTATTCATAGTATCCACTTCTAGTGCTAAATGCCGTTTTCCACTCATGATCTTCCTTAATTCTTACCAAATTGTACGCACTCCTAAGGTCAAGTTTAGTAAATATCTTAGCACCCTGGAGTCTGTCAAACAATTCGGAGATAAGGGGAATGGGATAGGCATTGTTTATGGTGATCTTGTTTAATGCCCTGTAATCAATGGATGGATGTAATTTTCCATCTTTTTTGGATACAAAAAAGAACCCTGCTCCAGCATGCGAGGATGATGTACGTATGTGGCCTTTATTTAAAGAATCTTTGATGTACTCATCCATGGTTCTACTCTCCTGTGGGGATAAGGCATATACTGCCCCTTAGGGTAGCAGATTTATGGAGCGATCATTCGATCTGTGAGGAGGTGGAATATTAGTCTGACTCTTACTGAACGCCTTTTTAACCCCCCAGTACTGTATGGGAATTTCGGAGGTCTGAGGTATAGCAATAGGCAAAGTAACGATGCCCACTCTCTTTGTAAGGGGTTACACACATCTCTCAATACAGTCTTTATCCCTTAGCCTAGTCAACATGAGGGTTGTGCTTGATGAGCCATGGAAATCTTAATATGATGGGACAAGAAGGGAAAGCGATTATCTGAAATGGTAGGTTTTCCTTGTGTAAAGCTCCTATATTAATAGGAGGGTAATCAGAGGTTGAGTGAGAGATCTCCCATCAATAGCCTCAATGGCCAGAGGTGATGATCTCTCCTAATGGGTATGAAGTGTTTTTTTAACAAAATGCATGTCAACGTTTCCTGCTGCACCATCAGGGCTTTGCATGAAAAGCTTTTCTTGTTGCAAAGGGTGGTAATGTCAAGGAGGAATCTACTTTGGTTATTATCAGAGGACGTATTCATCACACCTGAGAAGTTTTCCGGACATATGGGACAAGTATTTCTCATATGTCCTCTTTTGCCACAGTATAAACAAAGACCCTCTTTTTCTCCTATACAGAGAGGCCAGGGACAACAAGTTTGGAGAAACAAGGTGCCAGTGACAAAGTCATATGTCTGGTTCTATTTCTGGTAATTTTCCTGGTCCTAAGTTTGTTATTGATCTGCATCACATATGTGATGACAGAGGTGACATAGTCAGAGAAACATCAGGCTGTAAATGAGCTGTCCGAGTAAGAAGCATACTAAAAGCCTGGGCAAATTGATCCATACGGTGATCATTCTCCTCTAGCTTTCTCTCGCAAGCTGCTATGTGCTGACACAATTCTGCAGGATCTATGGCCATGTTGTAATGTCAGGATTACTAGTTGATCCAGCACACAGAATTAGATTACACCTAGGACTAAAGCTAACGTCTTACCGGACTTTAGAATGGTCAGACTTAACGTACCAGAGAATAGTCAGAATACTTTCCAAGGTCAGGGATACAGAAGGAGACACAACGATGAGGGAAAGCCAAAAGTCAAGGATACCAGAAGTCAGGGATGTCAATACGAAGCCAAAGTCAATAAACAGAATAATACAATCAGGAACACACTCTCGGATAACCAGCAAAGGGAAATATGACAGGGCAATGAGTATAAGGATAAATTAGTTTAAATAATCCTTCTGCAGATCCGATTGGCTGTAACCGGCCTTTAACCCCAAAACGTGCGTGCGCCTCTATTACATGACGTCACACGCACGTGGGCGGACGTTGGGCTACAATATGGCGTGGATCCGCAGTGGCTGGCGTCCGCCGACATGCTGCAGGAGTCAGGCATACTGGCGCAGGACCACTAAACGGCACCTCCATTCTGCTAGGAAGGCAATTTCCACTGCAAACACCATAAGGTGAGGATGAATACGTGACAGCGTTCATACGAACGGAACCCATTTGTCTTTCGAACAGGGACCACTCCGGTGCCCCATTAGAATGTTCATACCAATTAATTAGAAAGTTTGCACCAGTAACCGCAAACCGCAAGGGAAGTAATTAATGAGTGCTACCCTGGGTGGCCGCCACTTGGTATAGACGAACGCCAATCAGGGGGAGCATTTGTATCCCAAAAGGAGACGCTGCCCTTGCATAGTTTTTGCATAGGAACCTCATGAACTCAGGGTTGGGGGAATGTACCTTTGTGAGGATTCCTGAGGTTGGTGGGGACACTGGCTATTTTGGCGGACTTTTGTGCCTGGGAGACAAAGAGACAGTCCCTTTTCCTGAGCCTTGGCTCCCAGGCACACAGGATCCTGTGATAGAAATCCCTAGTTTGTTGGTTGGTTAGTTAGAAGACCCCTTGCAAGGGGTTATGCATAAAAGCTGTGTGTGGCATAAAAAAATGTTGTTGTACCCTAAATCTAGTCTCGACTGATGTTTGGATATGTGACTGACGAACTGCTGGATTTACTTTCAGGCGGCACTTTGATTCTTGGGAATGTACAACTCAGCGTTCCAGGCTGCGGGCTATAATCACTAAGTCGGGAGCATACGAACGAACGAGTATACAGTCTACCAGCGTTCACTACACACTAAAAAATGCACAGACAGCACAAAAGTGCTGCTGTGCAGAGCCATTGATTTATAGTGCTCACTGGCAAGATGGGGGTTAATGGCTCTGTAAAGAGCCTTTTGGTCTCAGAATTTTACAAATCCCTACCTAAACACAGATCTCTCTCTCTCTCTTACTAAAACACAAGGGAAGAGATCCACACTGGTCTTAGTCAATATTTACAAATATTGACCTGACCAGACAAATGGGGACGTCAACATGGTCCTGTGTTTTTTGAGAGACTGGCCTGCTAACGACAGGCTCTCTCTTCGACAGCTCTCAGCTAAGCTCGCTGTCATTCTTTGCCTTGTTTCTTTCCTAGGGTATCGGATGTTAGGGCCTTCGACATAGACGCTTTTTCGATATCTCCAGAGGGAGTTACCTTTCGGGTTTCACAGCGTATAAAATCAGACTCAACATTGGTTTTCTACTGCTTTTTTGTTACCGATCCTCGTCGTTTCTACTTTATGACGGTACGTAGATGTTACGTCCCCGTTACGGACCTCTGCTTCGGGACAACTATTAGTGTCTTACGTTAGACCGCACGTTCCCGTCTCGGTCACTACACTCGCCAGATGGATACGATGGATTTTTTCTCTGGCGGGAATAGACGCAGCATTCGGGGCTCACTCTGTTCGTGGGGCGGCGGCTTCCTCTGCCTTCTCGGCGGGTGCCTCTCTATCGGATATCCTCCGCTCCGCGGGTATCCACTTTTGCATCAGCGTTAAAAATGCAAACTAGGAAGCCTCCTGTCATGTGGTAAAATTGAGCTCCCTGAACTCCTGGCTGGGTACCTCCACCAAGGACCGCTTCCTAGCTGGAACAAGGGACAATCCACAGCACTTCTGCTCACAGTCGCCGTGGCTTAACTGGGGTCCTGGAACTGCTCCCTCCTGGAGACAAATGGGGAATTCACTCCATCCACCACTGGCACTGGACGACACTCAGTCCTGGGAGCGCTAGTCCTTACAAGGACTTTCCCAGTTGAATCCTCCACACTGGAACAGTGATTAGTCCTTTCCCCTTTTAGTAACCAGATGACACATAGTTCGGGGAGTACAAGCTGGAATACGTTTAATCTGGCCAGATGGCCTGCTTTTATATAGTTTCAAATAAAGTTGGGCACGCCCCTGAAACTCCCACAGAAAAAAGGATAATCCTCCCCCCTCAGAATACTCTTGCGACCCGTTTTTTAATCCCCCCCATGCCTTATCTCCAGGCACAAAAAAAAAACAAATTTCACAAACATCCCAAAAGTACCTTAAAAATACACCAAAACCCCACAAAGTTACCCCCGATCTGGGTGACCAACATATCCAAAAATCACCTAGATCGCTTCAGGGGTTCAGGAATGTGGCAAACCTAGCCACTTGGACATTATATACGTACTGTCGCTTTAAGGGTTGCCTGTATGCTTTTTGTGTTATGTGGGTTCCAGCGTATAATGTAATGCAATTGTGTAACTGTATTTCCTGTATTGGTTATCTGCCAAAAGCAGATAGCTGATTTCCTTTCGTTTCACGAACGGCACCTTTGCGGGCCGTTCGTGAACCGAATGAACTATCATTTAATAGCCCACACACTTAGAGGCGTGTGGCGCTTGTGAACCGATTGCAACAATGTTGCAAACGGTAATTAGAGGCTCTCCAAGGTGGCCGTCGTTCGACTACCGACCATGCGGCGGTCGGCCATCTTGGATCCTTTGTTCCCTCAGCGGTGTTTGGTCGTTGAGCGCATGGTACTAAAAACGGCTACTCGACGGCACGAACACCGCTGAGCTTCCAGGCCGTTAGGGAGTTCCGGGCCGTTCGGTATCCTGTTCCCTTGCATGCAATCGGTCTTTTGAAGATATGTTTGAGTGAATGTGTTTTTCGTGCGGTGTTCGGTTGTTTTAGCTGGGATCTGAGCGGTAATCTCACGAATGATGCGCTCAGACCCCAGCTATCTACCGAACGTCCATTCGTGCAAATAGACCGTATATTCAAAGAGTTATACATTTTAATATAAATTGTGGGTTCTGCTGCACGGAGGGATATTCCACTTAACGGTACATTCCTGTGGGAGGATCCCTCTCGTGCAGCAGTGCCTGATGGGAGAAATGTCTTGTACAATAAGTCCCCTCTGGGAATGCCGCTGGGAGGGGACTCAGGAAACCCCTTGCATGGGGACTTGTATAAATTGTGGAGCTGAAAATAAAGACCTCAGTTGTCTCCCAGCCTATGTGTCGTCTAGTTCTTGGGAAGGAAAGGTTACTACAGTGCTACTTGGATTACTGCATGCTGATTCCCCTGGATTATCCTTTGTTGTTCCTGTTACCCAACGGAGATATTGTGGATTATACTGCCTCTCCGCTACAAGGAATTTCCTGGAAGTCATAATTTGACCGACTGAACGCATGGTCCCATGCCCAAAACAGTTCCAGAGAAACAGGGTTTGCAGTCGGTCTAGTCTGGTAGTTTACCGAACTAGACCAACTCTAACAGCAGTGCCTTCCTCGACAAGTCTCTGCTCGCGAGGTCCCTGTGTGAAACCCTGCAAGGAAAGCAACGCCTTTCGGGATACGAATCCCCCTGGACAGCGTTCATCTATACGAAATGGTGGCCACCCAGGGGCGCATTCATAAATTACTTCCCTTGCGGGTTCACACTTATGTTGTGAGTGTGAAGTTCTGATTGATTGGTGTGAAAGTTCTAATGGGGCATCGGGGAGGTCCTCGTTCGGGAGACGAACGTGTTGGGAAACAATCCACGAATGTTCGCCCTGGTAGCCGTTTGTCTGTACAAATGGCGGCCACCCAGGGAAGCACTCATTAATTGCTTCCCTTGTGGTCTGCAGTTTGACACTTATGGTGTGAGGTGAGAATGTTCTAATCCAGCGTTCTAAATGGGGTATTGGGGTGGTCCATGTTCGGGAGGCGAATGGATTCACTTCGTAGCAAACCTCCTGACCGGGGAGCGGGTACAAAACACGAAAATACAAGGGAAACACATGAAAAGAGGAAAATCCACAAACAGGTAGCGGTTCTGCCAC